CTGTACTTTAGGTACCCTGCAGAATTTTTACCTCTTCGTTATGGCTCAGGGTTCATCCCAATCTCAAAGATGTATACACACAAGTACATGTACATATACACAGCCCTCCTGGCTAACTTGATTGTCCTTGTTGAGACGTAACTAATTGTGACTTCCTTTAGGAATCTTTTCGTCAGGGATAGCTGCCACCCACAGATCCCTAAAACTATACCCACATCTCCACTGTGTTATTAATAGCCTTTGTATTCTCGACTTCCTTGTGAGGCAGTGAGTGAGCTCTTCTCTGACAGAAGCCACATCTCATTCTGGCCTTTGGCCTAACACATTGGGACAGAGAGGGATAATGCATGTTGGGTGAACAAAAGTAGGCATCATTTTTGTTTTAAGTGTTTATGCTTTTTAAAGCACAAACAAAAAGTTGGAAAGCAGCATTTCAATTACATTGATCAAGCCAGTTACAAGGGAACACCGGTTCCTGCCGTACAGAACCAGGAGAGAGAATTTGAGACCAGGAATGGGGAGATGGGAGTGTGTTGGTGAGTCTTCCGATAGTAGTAACAGCTGATCCTACTTATTTTATGGAATATCTCAAAAAATAAAAATAAAGAACTGAAGTATTTTTACACTTGCTGAGTCAGTTGAAGCGACCAGAAAATACTATTGATTTTTAAGTGAGGAATAACCCGTCTCAGAAAAATAATTATGGTCCTTGGATTATGTCATTGTAAATGGCTTTTTTTTTTTTTTTTTTTTACCCCAAAACATTCTTTCCCTTGCTTTGATATTTTACCATATGTTTTCATTTCTATAACACACACGCACACACACAAACACACACACACATACATACACACACACTACAGTACTTCCTGTTTGAGTTACTATTTCCTGTAAAGTCCGTTATGACTTTGATTGAAAATTGCCTGTCTTGTTTCCAGCTGGCTATACAAGAACTAACTAGGGAGTTTGCTAGAAATTCCTATTCCTAGACTGTGTCTTCAGAGACTGGGATCCAGCAGGTCGGAAGAGGGGCCAGACATAGGCAATTAGAAAGTATTCTGACGATTCTGATAGACTGGCAGATTTGGGAACCACTGGGATGTTTTCCTAATTTCTAGAGTATTTGTGTGTGTGTGTGTGTGTGTGTGTGTGTCCACTTTAGAAGTCAAGTGAAGACAGATAATTAGGAAGGGCTGCCTGGAAGCATAAATGAAGCAAATTGCTCTATAATAACTGTTGTGAGATGCAAAGTAATAATTTGGGATGTGCTGTATGATCTGTCTGATACCTTCGCTTTCTTTTAGCTTAGGTTTTAGTCCTGGAGAATAAACAATATTTTCTCATCCCAAACAGACAAGTGTAATCATCGTTGTGTATACTGTAAGCTTCAAGTCATTATGTAACATTCCATTATTGTACCATATTTTGAGCAAATCACTGCCTCTGATCAATAAAAATTCTTCTTAAGCGTCTGTAAATTGAAACCAAGTAATGAAAATTCCAATCAATGTTTAGTGAGAACTGAATATTTTAAGTCTCCTGGAAAAGATCCCAATTATGGAGAATGCAGATACCCTATTTTTGGAACTGGTATACTTATTTTAATATATGAAAAGGGTTACTTTCCATTATTATTACTTTCTTTTGTTTCCAACAAAAAAGACAATATTTCATGTCTGAATACAGTATTCATCGAAGACACAGTGGAGGGGGGGTTACTAGCATTACTATACTTTTATAATTCTTTTTTCAATTTAATCAATTCTCCTTCATAGATGTTATTTTATAATTCTAATAGGGTTTGCTTGCTCTCTCTCTCTCTCTCTCTCTCTCTCTCTCTCTCTCTCTCACTCTCTTTCCCAGCTTGTTCTAACAAAGTTTAAATGTGACAGTGTAAACTTAAGGAAAATATACATACTCACGGTGATGTACAGGAAGTTGAATAATAGTGAATGAAATTGATCAATGGTGATTATCATTGTGAGGTGTGATCCCTCCCTTTTTCTCTGTAACAGCTGTTTTTAAGAATCTGAAATACACAAATTTCAAAAATATCTAAAATTTTGTTTTTGAGATGGAGTTTCGCTTTTGCTGCCCAGCCTGGAATGCAGTGACGCCATCTTGGTTCACTACAACTTCTGCCTCCCGGGTTCAAGAGATTCTTCTGCCTCAGCCTCCTGAGTAGCTGGGATTACGGGCGCCCACCACCACGCCCAGCTAATTTTTTAATTTTTAGTAGAGACAGGGTTTCACTGTGTTGGCCAGGCTGGTCTCTTACTCCTGACGTCAAGTGATCCACCCACCTCGGCTTCCCAAAATGCTGGGATTACTGGTTGAGCCACCGTACCCAGCCTAAAAATCTAAAACAATTTAAGCATTATGAGAAAGTACATCAAAAGAAAAAAGAGCCAGGCACGGTGGCTCACACCTGTAATCCCAGCACTTTGGGAAGCTGAGGCGGGTAGATCACCTGGGCTCAGGAGCTCTAGACCAGCCTGGCAAACATAGTGAAACCCCATCTCTAATAAAAATAAAAATAGCTAGGCATGGTGGCTCATACCTGTAATCCCAGATACTTGGGAAGCTCAGGAAGGAGAATCACTTGAACCAGGGATGTGGAGGTTGCAATGAGCTGAGATTGTGCCAGTGCACTTCAGCCTGGGTGACAAAGCGAGACTGCATCCCCCCAGAAAAAACAAAAAACAAGAAATCATTCCTATAACAGACTCCTAATAAGTCAGGAATATTTCTTTTTCTTTTCTTTTCTTTCTTTCTTTTTTTTTTTTTTTGTGGTATACGCAGAACGTTTAGACATAAAGTCAGGAGTATTTCTTTTTCCTTGTCTATTTATTTTTAAACTTGTTATAAATACTATGTCTTCTATTCACGTTTCCACTTAAGCTTAGCTGCATTATCTTTATCTTGCTTCATAGTCTTTGTAAGTATTTCAATGACTGTGCAATATTACATTGGGTAGTTATACCATTGTAATCTTGGACTTTCCAATATTCTTGAATATTTACATTGTTTACAGCTTATAAAATGGGGTTTCATTGTTGCCAAAATGTGTAATTCAAATGATAGAGTACTTGTATTGACCTTTGATCTAGTAAATACATCATCTGAGTATGTCAACCATTTGAAAAGATAATTTTCCCATGGAGTTGAATTTACCAGACCTACTTAATGCTTGTGAGTAAGCATGTCCTCTGGAAGCAGTGTGACGCCTCATCCCAGGCTTGCTGGCTTTCTACTTGCTACTGTAGCTTATGAAATTTCAGTTTGCTTTTTTCATTCATGTGACCAGGAAGCCAAGAGCATAGCACTAGGATGGTGAGTGAATCACATAGATGGGTTCAGACTTTTGAAGGTCGTAAGCCCTGAGCAGAGGATGGTTCCTGCCTCCCCATAATTTCTTTAAAACCATATATTAGTTCAAGGAAATTCAGCAAAGTTTTGAGTTTTGCCATATGGCCAGCTCAGTTCGTTTGTTATGTTTTGTTTTGTTTTGTTTTGAAATACAAAATTATTTCAAATTTATTTTGGTTTCCTTTTGGAAATGGGAAGGTCACCTTGCTTGACTGTCCCCTAAGCAAATGTTTTCTCTTTTCTTGGGTAATTCAGCAATCGATAACAGTTAATTGGGCTGGATATTCATAGATGAACATTTGCTCCACACCCTAAAATTTTTTTGTTGGAAAGAGCAAAACAAAAATTTTGTCATATGAACTTGTAGCAGCCTGAATTTTTCATACTAACTCTCACCATCATTTTATATGACATGCGTTTCTTTAATTAATTAATTCTCTTCTGGTAACACAAAGAGTACCAATAGAAAGGCGAAAAATCTGACTTAAGCATGTTTTGAATTGAGGTTATTATGAATTCAGGGGAATTTTGAAGGAAGAATGGGGACTTTGAAGAGCACACTATATATTATTAACAAAAGACTCTCCCCCTGCAGGAAGGCTACCCAGAGGAAGGTGGCTTTTGTTACTCAGGATGTGATTAATATTGCTTCAAGGTTTAATTTTAGAACTTCTAAAATAAGGAAGCTTGCATCAGTTCAGGCAAATGGTTTGAAACCTCACAATGCCCACTTTTTCTTTTCATTTTTTAAATTACAAAAATAGCATATGCATTATAAAACGTTTGAAAAATAATGAATTAAAACAAGCTTCTCATTGTCTCTGCCTTGACCAAAACCTTTGTTAATATTTTGTGGTAGTTCCAGTCTTTTTTTTTTTTTTTTTTTTTTTTTTTTTTTTTTTTTGAGACAGCTCTTGTCACCCATGCTGGAGCTCAATGACGCAATCTCCAGTCACTGCAACCTCTGCCTCCTGGGTTCAAGTGATTCTCCAGCCTCAGCCTCCCAAGTAAATGGGATTATAGGCACCCACCACCATGCCAGCTAATTTTTGTATTTTTAGTAAGACGAGGTTTCACCATGTTGGCCAGGCTGGTCTCGAACTCCTGACTTCAGGTGATCTGCCTGCCTCAGATTTCAAAGTGCTGGGATTACAGATGTGAGCCACCACGCCTGGTCCCAGTCTTTCTTTCTTATGTACTTTAAAAAAAATTGTAATTGTGTTTTGTATATAACTTCAATGACTTATTTCACTTAACATGGTTTCATATGCTTGTTTTCTACATTACAGTCTCCATGACAGTTGTAATTTATGCAGAATTCCACCCTTGTGATACTCCATAATTTTCCTAATTATATTCCCCATTATCGGGCATGTAAAATTCTTGATGATCACTTCTGTGCACAGTGGTGGTTATCCACACCATGTTACTTCTGCTCACATGGGTCACAAAGGCGACCTAATCTTGCCATAGCTTGCCTTTCTCTACCGGTATTGTACTTGGAAAAAAAAAGGAATTCCTTTCTACCTGTTTTCTTTTTGTTTTTGTTTGTTTTGTGGGATGCGGGGACAAGGAAGGGAGCTGGTCTCAATTCACTTCTCAGGTGAGCATTTTTGTCTGTCTTTCTTTAGCGGTGAAAGTGGTGCTGGAAAAACAGTGGCTGCCAAATATATCATGAGCTACATCTCCAGAGTGTCTGGAGGAGGCCCCAAAGTCCAGGTGAGTGGGTGATGGCCCATTATGGTAACTTATACTATGGGAAATGTAAGAGGCTCCGGTTGCAGTTAGAAAACAATTTTTCTTCCACAGAAAAGACGTTGGTTCTCTAACTGTGAAACTTGAAATCTGCAAAGGAATAACATGTTTTAAGATAGGTGTGTACCTAGTATTCGATGAATTCCTATAAATCAGTAAAAAGATCAGCAGCCCAAAAGGAAAATAAACAAAGGACATGAAAGACAACTCATAGAAAAGGAAATACAAATTACTCACAAAACACGGAAGTGTGTTCGCCATCATGATAAAAATGCAAATTAAAACTACATTAGAAAACTAATTTTTGCCTAGATTAGCAAAAATCTTACCATGTTTTAATCACTTGATCAGAAGGGAGTAGCGACACAGTTTTTCTTATACATTGCTGGTAGAACATGAACTAGTACACTTTAATGAAGGACATTTCAACAAAAGCTATCAAACTTAAACATATATGCCATATGAGTCGGCATTTCTGCATGAGAGAATTTATTCTTTAGATATGTTGAAATGGATACAAAATAATGCATGTATAAAGTTATTTGTAGCAATTTTGGTAATGCAAAAGACTGGAAAACTGTTCATCACTAGGCATCTGCTAAAATGATTTGTGGTTTGTCATAGAATATTATACAGCAATAAAAATGAAGCTTCATGTACTGATAGAGAATGGTCTTCAAGATATATCATTAACGACAAAAACCAAGGTTCACAACATTGTGTGTAATATATGCTGCCATTTAAGGGATCAAAAGAGAGTGTGTATTTGTATTTGTTTGGATATGTATCGCATATCCCTAGAAGTATACACAGTAAACTGTCAACAATGGTTGTCTTGGGCAGGGCGGGGCTGGGAGACTGGGAGAAGGGACTACTCTTCCTGTATACCCTTTAGAAACTTGGATGGTTTGAACAATGTGAACCAGTTGCCAATTCAAGAAACTTACAAAAATTTTAAAGGACAGAGACAGAGAAAGGGGAAACGGAAGGAAAAAAGAAAGACTAAAGAGTATAAAGGAAATGTTAGGAAAGAGAAAAGACCCAGAGAATGAGGATACTCAAGAGGTGAAAATTAAACTCAACATTGGCAGGAATGAGTAAAACCTGTTCCTGAGAGAGCGAGCTGTGGATGATGGTGATGGTGAGCTAAGGTCCATAAGGGGCAGCCCACGCTCAGTGCTCATCACCAGTATGCACCACTGGTGACAGAATTCATTCCAAAGATTAGCTTTTTAAATCAGAATTATTTAATGTTATTCCCATGATTGGCTGTAGGCTTTTAAAAGACACGTAAAGTTGGCCAGGCATGGTGGCTCATGCCTGTAATCCAACACTTTGGGAGGCTAAGGGGGACAGATCACAAGGTGAGAGATTGAGACCATCCTGGGCAATATGGCGAAACCCCATCTCTAGTAAAATACAAAAAATGAGCCAGGCATGGTGGCATGTGCCTATAGTTCCAGCTCCTCGGAAGGTTGAGACAGGAGAATCGCTTGAACCCAAGAGGCGGAGGTTGCAGTGAACCAAGATCGTGCCACTGCATTCCAGCCTGGCGACAAAGCAAGACTCAGTCAAAAAAAAAAAAAAAAAGACACATAAAATTACCTTTATTGTGGTTTTTTTGAGATGGGGTCTCATTCTGTCACCCAGGCTGAAATGCAATGGTGAGATCTTGGCTCACTGCAGCCTCCTCCTCCTCAGCTTAGGTGATCCTCCCACCTCAACCTCACAAATAGCTGGGACCCCAGGTGCACGCCACCATGCCTGGCTAGTTTTTTGTATTTTTGGTAGAGACAGGGTTTTAACCACGTTGCCCAGGCTCGTCTCAAACTCCTGAGCTCAAGTGATCCACCCTCCTAGGCTTCCCAAAGTGTTGGGATTATGACCATGAGCCACCATGTCTGGCCCCTATCTATTAATTAAGTAGTGTTCTGTACTGTACTGGTAAATCAGAAAGCATAAGGCAGAGCCAAACATTCCTCCTTTGAATTTCTGAAGCTTTATTAACTCTTTCTGTCTTTTGTTTGCTGGCCAGACGTGCCTATACCATTTAACTACAAAAGACAGAATCTTCTTCTATCTCTTCCCTTCTTTAATTACAGGCTTTAAAACTGGGAATATTTATGTATCCATCCCATCCATCCATACATCCATATCTATTCATTATTGATTTGTGATATCCAACAGAATTTTGTGGTATGTGGTGAACATATCAGAGAAAAAAGAGAAAGAGCAAACTAAGGCTACAGAGTGAAGGTTCTTAAAGTGGCCTCTTGCTCTGAATGAAAGGAAGATGGACAGTAGCTCTGACCAGTAGAAAGGTGAAGCAAGCCATATATGTAATTCTAAATTTTCTAGTAGCCATGTTAAAAGAAGTAAAAAGAAAAAAAGGAAATAACTTTGTAAAATAATATTATTTAACCCAATATATAAAAAATGACCATTTTATTGTATAATCAATGTAACAAAATTAATGAGATACTTTATATCTTTTTGGTACTAAGTCTTTGAAATCCAGTGTGTATTCTACACTTACATCTCAGTTGGGGTAGCCACAGCCACGTGTGACTATGGCTTTCATGTTGGACAGTGAGGGCAGCTCTAGAACATAGGTTCATGTGGTTCAGTCCATTTGCTTTTCTCTATTCCTGTGATTCTTCCAGATCTTGAGAGGGTTGACATGGAGACAAGAATCCAGGATGCTGTTTTGCAGATCGGCTACACTTTATTTTTAAAATTTATTTTTTCTTTTTTTGAGACAGAGTCTTGCTTTGTTGCCAAGCTGGAGTGCAGTGGCTTGATCTCAGCTCACTGCAACTTTGGCCTCCCTAGTTAAAGCGATTCTCCTGCCTCAGCCTCCCTAGTAGCTGGGACTACGGGTGCGTGCCACCATGCCCAGCTAATTTTTGTATTTTTGTAAAGATAGGATTTTACCATGTTGGCCAGGACAGTCTCAATCCCTTGGCAGTTGGGATCTGCCTGCCTTGGCCTCCCAAAGTGCTGGGATTACAGGCATGAGCCACCAGGCCCGGCTGATGGGCTGCCCTTTTACCTTAGTTTGCTTTTTCTCTTTTCCCTGATATGCCTGCCACATGGCACAAAATTCTGTTGAATATCACTGATCATTGATGAATACATGTGGATGGATGGATGGATGCATGGATGGATGGATAGATAGATACATAAAGATTCTCATTTTTAAAGCCCATAATTTAAAAAGAGAAAAGACAGAAGAAGATTCTGTCTTTTGTTCTCTTCCTGAGAGAAGCTGAGTGTGGTTAAATGGTATAGGTATTATCTGGCCAGCAAAAAAAAGAAAGTTAATGAAGATCCACAAATTCAAAATTGATTTTACAAAGAAAAGCAAAGTTTATATCATTCCATGGGTTTTTAAAAGAAAGTAGGCAGCTTGGAATTATGTTTCTAAGCTTTGATACTGACCCATGAAAGGATTACCCAGAATTGCCCTTGGCGTGATTGCTAAGAATGCTTCTCTAGTCACAAGGAAAGGCCAGTTCTCATTTCTCATGGCAGTTTTTCTTCTGAATGTTTAGAAGGGTGCCGGAAGAACACTTTGGCTGTTACATAGTCAATTAGTAATGAGTGCCTTAATTTACTTCTCTTTGCTACACCCCCATGACCTAGTAGCCAGACTGCAGACAGTTAATGTTGATTTTTCCCTTCCTGTTTTCCTGTGAGGACAATGATACAGAGCCCTTGGCTTGGAATTAGTCAGTAGCTAAAGAGCACAAGCCAGAAGACTTGTTATTTCTGGACCATGTTTAACCATAGCATGTGAATAATTAGAAGTACAAGGAATGACTCACTTGTTGAAAGACTTCTCCAACATCAAATTCTGTCTATTGAGCAGTCTCATGTCTATGGTGTGTTTTGCACACTTCAGTAGAACGGGGATGTTTGAAAAACAAATCCTTCCTGTCTAGTAGGCCAGGACTTGTTCCACAGAATCCGCTGTTGCACCTTACCGGTCAAAGTGTATATCATTGCTGGCAAAACCAGCAACACCAGGGAGCTGGCTACAAATGCAGACTCTTGGGCCCTACCCCAACCTCCTGAGTCCACATCTGCATTTTGAGAGGATCCCCAGGTCATTCGTGCATATTAAAGATTGAGAAACACCAGGCTGTATTTGCATAACCTTGTTTGGGGAGAAGTGGATTAATTTTCCGTAAAATAACTTGCAGTGGAGCAGGTGGAGGTGGGATGAGATGTGTTGGTGGAGTAGTTGGGAAGGGGTAGTGAGAATAAAGACCCTGGCCGAACAGCAAGGAGACAGCCCTTCGTCTACTGTTTTACTTTCTTTCCTGCTTTGACACCTGGCACACCCACAAGTGCAAGGTGAAGCTACAGCAACCAATTTGGAAGCCCAAGCTGAGAATGTTTGTATGAATAGTTCCTGATTTCCATTGGCACCCTGGCTCTTGGGGATCCTTCATCAAACCATGGGAATTGGAAGACCCAAACACGCAAACAGATTGAGGTCTGTCATGGTGGAAGAATAAATCCACTCGAAACCCCACATGGATGTGGGGCCCCTCACCTTAATACATTCAGAAACCAGGTCCTTAGAGAAAGTTGGGCTTACACTGCGTGGTAGGTGTTCACACCTTCCTAACCTCCAATCTGTTTGCTGGGACAGCACGTGAAGGACATTATCCTGCAGTCCAACCCACTGCTGGAGGCCTTTGGGAATGCCAAGACCGTCCGGAACAACAACTCCAGCCGATTTGTAAGTCTCTTCCCTGTTTCAGAGAGTGTCGCTTGATTGATGATGTTGATGTCCCTGACTGAAGTCCAGTATCCCACAGGAAATGGGAGCTTTTCACATACCATCAGGGGGCCACCCCTTTAATCTTTCCTTCATTTTCTCTAGCAGCATGCTGCCAAGCTGCAGTTTGCCATTTTTTGTGTGTGCCTCAGGGATACAAACAAGATAATTTTGAAAATTATCCAAGTTTTCCACTTGAGTTGCCTTACTAAGGAAAGTAAATGATCAAAGTGGCATCTTTGGCCTTGGAGGAATTGTCTTAATGGCCTGGAGACAAGACCTTCTTTCCTAGACGTAGAACTAATAGAGTAGATGGGCGTCCCAGGTATCGTTTCCCATTAGCAACGGTTTCACTTCTTAGAACTTGGTCCGTAGACTGAAGGGTGCAGAGAGGTGGACTGATCTGGCACCTTGGAGAGAAATTTCCTCTTCTCTGTCCCTAGAGCGAGCTGCCTGCCCACCCCAGCCCTCTGGCTCTGTGCATCTGTCGTATGCCATACTCATACAACCTACGACATCCAAAAGTGACTGACCTACGCTCACAGGTCGCCTTCTAACTGGCTTACCTAACTGGTAATGAAAATGTCAACCAAATGCATTGTTGTGAATGCTCATTTAGTCATATTTCTGTCTGGGTGTCTCCAGAGGGGGTAGATAGGAAAGCTGGCAAGGATCAGTATGAATATGTTCCCCTTGACAAAAGCCACATTTACAAAGAAACAAATGTTTACCCAGTAACCTTGATTTATATAGATTTTGCATCTTTTTTCAACCATAGATCGTGTCTGGCACTAAAGCATTCACAGAGCCATCTGTGAGGCTGATTCTGGAACATTTTAAAATAAATAAGTAGGAATTTTGGAGAAAAACAATTTTCTTTTCCACTGTCTATTTTGGAAGGAAGCTTCTATTTCCAAGAGAATTTTTACTATGTGCTCACATAATAATTGTCAAGTTCCCTGGTGGGTTCTGTCTGTTAGACTTGCCCTTACTTCCCTTGCTTTCTAATACTATTCAAACTACTCATTTGTTTTGTCTCTTATATTTTTGGGCCCAATGCCTGAGTTGTGTTATCCTGAAGAAATTTTCCAGATAACAAAATAAGAAAGAAGATTTAAACAAATTTTCCACTTGAACCTTTTTCTTAATTTTTCAATCTAAATCTGCCTTGTAAAAATAGGCTTGTCCAAATTTAACTCTTCATTTACCTTTTCCCCTTTCTTGGATTCCTTGGAGACCAGAAAAAAAAATAATTAAATTGATAATTTCATTGATTTTTACAATATACATTGTTCATTGCATTTAAAGGATTCATTGGTCCATTTCTGTAAATAACAAAAACACTCAACATTTTCTTATTTTTCTAATTGCAAAATTTTATACAACCCTGATGGAAAGATGGGAAGAGACATTTCAGACACATACACACACGCGCGCGCACACGCACACACACACATATGCACACACATACTCTCTCTCTCTCTCTCTCTCTCTCACACTATTCACCATCATGGATGAGAGAAATGTAAATTAAAACCACATATCATTTTCTGTCTCTCAATTGGGCAAACATTAAGGTGATTGATAATAATGGAGAAAACACGCTATTGGTTGAAAACTGACATATTCTCCCAGGAGAGTGATTGGGCAATTGTTATTAAAATTTTAATCATTCATTATCTTTGTCCAACAATTACTTTAGAATAAATTACATAAGTTTCCTACCAAATAAGTTTCATAAGTTTCTTACCAAATTTTACTTATTTTAAAAGATACTCATAAGGTTAAATTAAGAAAAACAGATTACAGAACAATATCTTCAATATTTTCCTGTTTTTGTTTTTAAAATGTGCACATTATATAAAATGTAACTAAGGGGTATGTAAATCAAATTTTGACATCTGTGACATTAATTAAGCAAGAGAATGAAGAAATGGCATCAGGGTAGAATTATGGGTAATTTCACTTTTAAAAAGGGACAGGTGTTATGAAGCATAAGAATGTATATATTTAACACTTATAAATCTTTTCAAATTAGAGAATGTATTATGAAATATTTCAAACATGATTTAAAAATAATGCAATGAGCATCTATGTGTCCAGTACCCAGCTTAAGAAATACATCATTACCAAGAGTTGAGTTGAAACTTCTTTTCATTTCATTATCAAAATGCAAAAGCAACATTTTATTTCCTTTATAAAATTTCCTCTTTCCCTCCAGGCTGCTATACAGCAGTCCTAAATATGTTGACCTTTTGTTAGAAATTTTAACTTTCATATGACAATTTTGAGCCATGCATATGCATTTTATTATATTAGAGCAGTGGTTTCAAGCTTCATCACACATAAAGATCAGCTGGGCACTTTTTGAAAAACATACAGCTCTGGGCCCTGGTCCTAGAGAGTCTGATGTGTGTGGTCTGGGCTAATAGCAGGCACCAGCATGTTGGAAAAGCTCCCCAGGTGTTTCTAAGGGGCAGCCAAGGTTGAGCACCGCTGCTAGGAGGACTTGGGAGTGTGCTCTGTCCACCCCTGACCCAGGAAGGTCAGGTGTTCTGTTTGGTTTCACTTTCCCTCAACTGATGAGGAATGGGGATAGGCACTGAAATATTGCCTCTATTACATGCCAAAAGCAAAGGATGGTGAAGGTGACGAAGCTCTTATTCAGTGAGATTTTCTCTGGTGCCAGTGACATTCTGCAGAGCGATGGCTGGTGGTTCTCTGTGCCTGGTGCTGCTGGGTGTTTTTGTTTTTCACTGGGAGGAAGAGGGTCATCAGATTAAGAAACATAGACAGTCAGAGGCTGGCTGCCTTTGGTGGTCTTTCTTGACACCTGTAATAGTTAACTTAAGAACAGGAACACAGCATATATTCACACATTTGCATAGTGTGCACTGTACTTTTCTTGCCCTTACTGAGTTTACAGCTCCAGTCATAGACGTAAAACCCAGATGAATTTATCCCTGAGATGGGTGGATTTAGTCAGCATACACATTTTTATGATATTAAATGTGAATGCGGCGAGGCTGGAAAAGGATTTTCCAGTTCGGTTGTAGGCCTAACTGCTCCCTCTTTACCTTTATTTGTATTTACCCTCTGGACTCTGAGGGTGCCTAAGTTTCTGAGGACGGGAGAGAAATTAAGTTCTAGTGAGAAAAAAAATAACAAATATGTATATATATATGATAATTGTTATGATAATCATATATATAATTTTTTGTTATTTATTTTGTTTTTTGGACAGAGTCTCGCTCCATGGCCCAGGCTGGAGTGCAGTGGTGCAGTCTTGGCTCACTGCAACCTCCACCTCCTGGGTTCAAGCAATTCTCCTGCCTCAGCCTCCTGAGTAGCTGGGACTACAGGCACTTGCTACCACACCCAGCTAATTTTGGGGGTTATTAGCAGAGATTGGGTTTCACCATGTTGATCAGGCTGGTCTCAAACTCCTGACCTCCACTGATCCACCCGCCTCGGCCTCCCAAAGTGCCGGGATTACAGGCGTGAACCACCACTCCTGGCTGTATATAATTAATATAACAACCTAGATACCTTTTCAACTAAAGTCTAGGTTTTTATTCTCTTTTGTTCCCTATCAGCAGCCATTTAAAGAGGAATTTTTGTAAGAAGGACAGTGACAAAAATCCCTAGGCCCATGAGTAGCTGGAAAGAACTTTATTTTTAATAAAGTGTTTTCATTTTAGATAAGCATTTTAGATGCTCCATAGGTAAGAGGGATTGAGGATTTTTGCTCAAAGCCATGAGATGAAGTCTGACAGAGCAAGAGTGTTCTTCCTCTGAAAGGGTGCCATGCTGTTTTTTTGCCTTATTTTTTCCAGTTGAGCAGGCAGTCAACTAGTGGAGGAAAATGAGCAAGAAATAGAGCAGATCCTTATTTAGTCATGCTACAATGGCAGATGCTCTCTCATAACAGAATCGTGTGGCTGGACAAAAGCACGGGTTATTGTGTGACTGAAAATGGTGAGGAAGTCTAGACTTGAATCAGGTGTAATTCAAAATGTGTCTTCTATTAATGAATTTCCTTGAATTATATACTGTATTCAAAGGCTGTTTGGGACATCATGTTTTGTTCACCAACCATTGAAGGAAATCCCTAACTTTCTTGCAGGGAAAATACTTTGAAATCCAGTTCAGTCCAGGTGGGGAACCAGATGGTGGAAAGATCTCCAACTTCCTTCTGGAAAAATCCAGGGTGGTGATGAGGAACCCAGGAGAGCGGAGTTTTCACATATTTTACCAGGTTTTTCGTTTTACTTCTTTCCCACCCACTTCCTGTATATCTACACGAAAATATTTCTCCGACTTCAGGCAGAGACTGTAGCCTGGCAAGCCAGGAAGTGTACAGATGGCACAAGTCAGTGTACAGAATGGTCAGAATGTCCCTGCCCTCAAGGAGAATGAGTTCTAACTGGAGTGACAAGATGGAAATTCCCAAAAGCTAAATCATCAAGAGAGTGTTGATGTAACTTCAAAACAAAATGAGGAGTGTTTGAGTCTTTGCCAAAGGAATTCATATGGGTGGATGTGGGTGGTTTTGGCTGGGTGGTAGGAGAGGTGTGAAGGAGGGGGGTTTTTCAGGGAAGACAGGTGACCTGCACCAAAGCAGTGGAGGTGGGAGAGGCCAGTCAGGGAGCTGAGCCTCAGCCTGTGTGCCAGGCAGCGATCTCCAGAACATGAGCTATTGAAGGAAAGATTTGAGATGGGTTTGGGATCTTTAATGCCAAGTTGAAAAGTCTTCATGTAGACCCTCAGAAGTTTGGAGAGTCTGGGGCCAGAGCAGTTGCAGGGTGCTTTTTGGTTGTGTTCAAGGCTTCAGCACTCATCTGAGTCAGCTACTTTTATTTTACTTTATTTTTTTTTTGAGACAGCGTCTTACTCTGTCACCCAGGCTGGAGTGCAGTGGCACAATCTTGCCTCACTGCAGCCTCTGCATCCTGGGCTCAAATGATCCTCCTGCCTCAGCGTCCCAAGTAGCTGGGACTATAAGCACATGCTACCACAACTGGGTGAGTTTTATATTTTTCATAGAGGCAGAGTTTCACCATGTCTCCCAGGCTGGTCTTGAACTTTTTTTTTTTTTTTTTTTTTTTTTGAGACGGAGTTTCGCTCTTGCTACCCAGGCTGGAGTGCAATGGCGCGATCTCGGCTCACCGCAACCTCCGCCTCCTGGGTTCAGGCAATTCTCCTGCCTCAGCCTCCTGAGTAGCTGGGATTACAGGCATGCGCCACCATGCCCAGCTGATTTTTTGTATTTTTAGTAGAGACGGGGTTTCACCATGTTGAACTTTTAAAGTCAAGTGACCCACCCACCTCAGCCTCCCAAAGTACTGGGATTTCAGACATGAGCTACCATGCCTGACCCTGATTCAGCTACTTTTGTAAAAGGGTTTTAAGTACTTAAAAAATATATTGATGTTAATAACCAAATTTTTTATGTTCTATGTCCTTATTGTTTTAGGTATTGAGGATCCACATTAGACTTTGTTTGAAGAAAGGCCTGGTCACTGATTTTTGTTGTTTCTTTTGTTTCATGTTCAGTTTGGGAATCACTGGATTAGAAGGACATTAAATTGTGGGAGTAGCTCACATTCAGTCTGTTCAATTACACACACATCTTAGGTGATGCCAAATAATTCTTTTAGTTGGTATCTGTTGATTGAAAACATATGTAAATGACCAAAACTTCTGTGAATTCAGTAATTTAAAAAATTGTATTAATGAAAGCAACATGTATAGACAAGTGAAAAGTAATTATATATTTCACATAAATAAGATTGAGTGCTGGACGGAAGTGGATAATGGATGCCAGGACTTCTTTAAATAAATGCAAACACCAGCCCTCCAGGAGTCCTCTGCCCTTAGATCAGAAACCACCAGAACAGAGGCTAGAAATTGAGGGGCTCAGGGATTCAAGATTCTGACATGAAAGTAATTCTTGAAGCTACGAAATACATGAGATTCCTGTGGGAGTGAATGTGGAGAGAAAATCATGCCACACAGGACTAGGGCACTTTCTGGATGTGTAGGATGGGGAGGCACTGAAGAGCCAGCAAAGCCAACAGGGAAGTAATTAAAGGAGAAGGAGGAAAGCCAAGATCCTGCAGTGTCGCCAAGCCCAGGGAGCCTCAGGAACAGCAGCAGGATCAAATGCTCAGGGCTCTTGGGGGAAAAGGGGTGAGCTGGAGTGTGGGGGCCGAAAAAAAAAAAGGCTGTTGGATTTAGGCACTCAAAAGTAGCCACACAAAAGGGTTCCATCAGAGTGGTGAGGGAAGAAGCCGGGATGCAGGTGGTTATGTCATGACGTGGAAGTAGATTCTACAGCTGGGGGAAGTTCAGAGTCAAGGAAAAGCTTCTAAAAAGGCAAAGAGTAGCGTGTTTGTAGATAGAAGAGATTTAGAGAAGGGAGATGAAGGGAGATTTGAAGATGCAAGTTAGAGGTAGTATATAGTGTATGGGTGGGGAGAGGACCAAAAAGAAGAGAGGAACAAAAGGAAGGGCTGGTACAAAGAGATGTTCAGGAGATAGGCCAGGAAATGAAGGGAGCCTGGTGTCACGGGGAGACCTAGAGCTTCTCAGTGATGGAGATAACGCCCCTGTGCGGGGAGGGGAGCCAGGGCAGCGTTGTGCAAGTTGATGAAGGTTGGGAAGCATGGATGGGAACTGTCTCTATTTTCCTAAATGTTATTGGGTTACAGCCAGGGTGTGCTGGAGCCGGCTCACATGGGCAAGGCACGTCTCTTCCCTCTTCCTTGTGTGAGATATCTTTGGTAAGGGTTTGACATCAGTCATGGTGGGCATATTTATACCATGAATATTGGCAAGCACTACAAATCAGTTTTTTTCTCAAGGGTTGATTGGTTAAACATTTTCTAGCTCACCATTGGTTAAAGCCCAGTAAGAGGATCTTGCCCCTCCTAAGGCAGACATCAGAGCTCCAACAAAAAGCCAAGGAGTTGAGCGTGGTGACTCATGCCTGTGTAATCCCAGCACTTTGGGAGACTGAGGTGGGAGAATTGCTTGAGCCCAGGAATTTGAAAGCAACCTGGGCAACCTAGTGAGACCCTGTTTCTACAGAAAGCTAAAAAATTAACGGGACGTGGTGATGCATGCCAATAGTCCCAGCTACTTAGGATGCTGAAGTGAAAGATTTGCCAGAGCCTGGGAGATCAAGGCCGCAGTGAGCCAAGATTGTGTCACTACATTCCACCTTGGGTGATACAGCAAGACCCTGTCTATAAAAAACAACAAAGGCCAAGGGACAGTCATGGGTCAGGAGGTTTCAGAATACCCCAGAGAGTGAGCAACCGCACCCTTCTTTTCTAATATGCACCCTGTAGTGAGAAGCATGGAAAGGCCAGCTCCACTTTAGAAAGCTGTAGCAAGTTGGGCAGGAACTAGGTAATTATAATCTGTTTTGCTTTCCACTCTTCCAAGGGTGGCCGTCCAGTTCCTTTCAGTGGACAAAGGAAAAATCCTCAGCTTGTTCAGGTCTTTCCAGAGTTAGGAGCCAAAATTTGCAGAGATGACTTGGGGCTACAGCAAGTACATATTTGGAAGCCAAGACTGCCTATAATTTTAGAAAGCATACATAGAAAGACCTTATCACTGGACTTGGGGGTGGCGGCTGCAGGATGCATGAGGTGACTTTGGGTGTCTTGTGGTCCACACCGTGGCTCAACCCATGTTCTTTTACTCCAGCTCATCGAGGGCGCCTCTGCAGAGCAGAAGCACAGCCTTGGCATCACGAGCATGGACTATTATTACTACCTGAGCCTCTCGGGCTCATACAAGGTTGATGACATTGACGACAGGCGAGAGTTTCAGGAAACTCTGGTAAGTGCTGGCACAGGGCCAGGCAGGATCTGCTCTCCCAGCTGGGCATTTCCTGTGGTGGAAAGGGTGGTGAACGTCAATAAGGCAAGGAGCCGCATGCAGTGTCCCCCTTGTTCTCTGTGAGCACCCTGTATGCGCATACATGTTTCAGTGCCCTTAAATAGCCATGTGCCAGTTGCCTGAGGACGACTTAAAAAGAAATGAATTCATCATTCTCCCCCTGCAGGAGCTCTGATAAACAGGCAAAAATGATTCCTATGTTGAGTGTAGTCTGTTTGCTATGGTCTACACAGTTTGTGAGCCATTTTCTTAGAAAGGCTAAGCAAACAGCACGTTTATGGGCTTATTTAGGCTTAGAAATTTTCGACCATCTTTAGTCTTTTCTCTGATCATTTCTTTTCTGGTTTTGAAGACTTTCTCCTCCCCTCTGTATTGCACCAAGCAGAGGACTCTTTTTCTGTGCCATGCCCTTCACATTGCCTGTATGTTATGGTCCAAGTTGTGAAACTAGGTAGATTACGGAGGGGTTCTATCCTGAGGTCAGGAACTCAAATGAGTCAATCTAGAAGGTTTTGGAGATAGGCCGAACACCCACTTAACCTCAAAGGGCTTCATTACCACTACCCTTTGAGTCTGTTTCAAGCCGGGAACTATTCCTCAGCCCAGATCTAGAACTGAGTGGTAGACCCTGAATGAGCAATGTGGGTTCAGTACATTTGTGCCTGAAACGGATAGAAAGTTCAGACAGACTGTGTCCTGGGTGCCAGGAAACAAAATGGTATCAACAGGTCATATGGCCACAAAGCAGCTGGGAGAAAAAGTGCCGATAAGGAGTCTGCACACTGGTCCTAGAGTATAGTTTTTCCTAGGAGATGGTTCTCTAAGATTTAGACATTTAGTGGTATGTATTGCATTTAAGGGGCCTCAGAAACTAGACTTTTACATGATGCTTTTATTGGATTTCCTGGAGATTTTTCATTAAGATCTTTTTGCAGTTATAATATATTCTTATCCCTCCTGATGAAGGAAAAGATCTCTTGAGTCCATTTTGAGTAAGTGGAAAGGTCAGCAGTGACCTTCAAGGGGAAGCTGGCAACAAGAACACATCAAAGGATAAAGCTAGGGCTTGGGAGACTTTGTGTACAACTACCACTCCTCCGAGTATCTTCCTCCTGGAGTATTCCCTTACTTCTGGAGGATGGCATGCTGTGCTTAGAGACAGAACTGCCCTTCCAGCATGACTTTAAAACTTGAGAAGAATGTGTGCACTGGGCAGGGATCATGTACAAGAACATCCCGCTGTCACCACAAGCTAAGCCACGTGTGACTGCACGGCCCAGCCTATGTTCTTCCTTTTTCTTTTTAACTTGTCTGTACTTGCTACACCCTTATTTAGAGCAGCTGCTCTGCTTTGGCTTCTTCCTTAAGTGCTTGTAAAGCTGACGACCAGCTTCTCTGGATAGTTTCTCTTTTCTCTTCCAGCACGCCATGAATGTGATTGGGATCTTTGCAGAAGAGCAAACGCTGGTGTTGCAGATAGTGGCAGGAATTCTCCACCTGGGAAATATCAGCTTCAAAGAAGTTGGCAACTACGCGGCTGTGGAGAGTGAAGAGTGTGCGTAGCCCTGGCACGTGGCCATTAAATGAGGGGGGTGGCTAGCTGCGATTAGAAGTAACCCAGCACTTTCCTTTGCTTATCTCAAGTGGGAATATTGGGAAGAAGTGAGAAATCTACATGTCCTCTGTGGCAGAACAGAATGGCTTTACAAGAGACCAGACCTCTTCTATGCACCTGCCCCTCTCTTTATCTTTCCCCAGCCTTTCCAAGTCCCACACCATCCATGATTAATTGTTTCAGTTGATCGTTAACCCGGGGAAAGCTGGGAGGATTTCACATCTAGGTTTAAAGATAAAGTAATCTCTTTAATGAGGATTAGAGTAATGCTTAATATTGCAAAAGATTTAGTCTCTTTATGAAAAGCTTTTCAGTAACTGGTCTTAAAGATCTAAATTCACCTCAGGGTTTTAAAGAGCAAGCAAGCAATATAATACGTGTAAACATGGGAAGCTCACAACTTCATTTTGTTTCACAGATTGGATTAGATTGGATTTCTGAACACAAGAAAGATGGACATTGACTATTGTGTTTACATATCTCATGATCACCTTGAATGATCACATCTGTATCATTGGAGCCTCTACACCTAAATGATCATTTTTCCTCTTTGAGAGAAAAATCAGGGTTCTTCCTGTAGAGAGATGCTGTTGGTTACATGTGCCCGAAATGTACCATAAATACAGTGGCATGTGATTTCAGCCTCTGAGACATCAACAGCTTGCAGACTGCTCTCAGAACCCACACATCCTTTAGCCACCCAGGAAGACATTCTTCCCTTCTCAGCATTCTTTAAGGATGATAAATTTAGATGCTTAGTAATAAATAGTATCCCACTCATTGCTGACAATGCAGTGGGGATATTTCCATTCCAAATAAGGTTCTTTTTTTTAATGTTTTTGTTTTCTTTTCTGATAAAAGAGGGAAGTTCTGCTAACTTTTGATGTCTATCTTATAAAGAAAAAGATGAATTATGTTTACCACGGAAGGGAGTAGAAAACTATAAATATACAGGGTTTCCATCAAGTCTAAAAATGTGACCTACCAATCATAATACTGATAAATGTGTTTCTAAACTTTGCATACCTTGTCTTTGAAGTTTAACACATGCGCCTATGTTTCCAGTAAGATCATGAACACCTGGCCTTTTAATGTAAGAGTGTTGCTCTGGTTGTAGTTGCTGTTGAAGTAGACTGGATTTCTTTTGCCTTCTTGGGATAGTAAAGTAATTTACTGCCTCTTTCTGCTTGAAAACAAAATCATGACACTGAAACAGCAAACAGTTCCCTAGATGTTTGAACGAAGAGGTGTTGTATTGCACATTGATGTCCAGAGTTCGTCGTCTTCTCAGCCAGATGGGTAAGGCCCAGCACTGGCAACTGCCCATGAAATTCCTTGCCTAGAGGTGCTGGAGGCATGGAGGTGGGAAAAGGCGGAGATGGAAGCCAGAGAGGTCTAGGAAATGGGCCTCCCTCCCAACAGTCTCCTTTGATTTGGGGCTTTGTTCATTTGGTAATACATTAACGTGGCTCAGGGTGGAATGCAGTGAAAGTTCTCCCTTCTCTACCTTTTCTAGTTCACTTGTTACCCTTGTCAGAGGTAACCAAGGTTCCCAGTCCCTTGTGTTGCCTTTAAGGGATGTGTGTTCCAGAACGACTACACACAGCCACTCTTTTTTCCCACTGTTGTGCCATCATAGGGCTTATAACACAATGTTCTACAGTTGCTTTTTCAGTTAATATGTGTCTTAGGCCAGGCATGGTGGCTCATGCCTGTAGTCCCAGCACTTTGGGAGGCCGAGGTGAGTGGATCACCTGAGGTCAGGAGTTTGAAACCAGCCTGGCCAACATGGTGAAATTCCCTTCTCTGCTAAAAATACAAAACTTAGCCAGGTTTGGTGGTGGTGCGCGCCTGTAATTCCAGCTACTCTGGAGGCCGAGGCTAGAGAATTGCTGGAACCTAGGATGCGGAGGTTGCAATGAGCTGAAATTGCACCACTGCACTCCAGCCTGGGTAACAGAGCTAGTCTTCATCTCAAAAAGAAGAAAAAAAAAAAAAAATATATATATATATATATGTATGTTTTTCTTTATATATCTATCTATCTTAGAGATTATTCTATATCAATTCATAAGGAGATTTATCTTTTAAGAGATGGGGTTTTGATTAGTTGCCAGGGCTGGTCTCGAACTCCTGGCCTTAAGTCATTCTCCTGCTTTGGCTTCCCCAAGTGCTAGGGATACAGGTGTGAGCCACTGCGCCTGGCTGCCCTTTTTATAGCTTCATAACCTTCCATTGGTTGGCTACACTTTTATTTATTTATTGAAGCAGTCATCTATTGTTGGGCCTTAATGTGGTTTCTGTCTTCTGCTGTTACAAGACTGAATGAACACTACTGAAATGAATAGTCTTGGTTTCTATCATCTTTCTCATATTATAGTTTATCTATGAAATAAATTTGTAGAGGGAGGTGGTAGTCCATGCCTTTATGATAGAAGAAAGCAGACTTTCTCTAGCTATTACAGTGTAGAAAAAAAAAAAGGTAAGATTTTCATGAGAAAAGGCCTACTAAAGCAAAATAGCCATTAATAACAACAGGCTTTTTGTTTTTTGTTTTTGTTTTGAGATGGACGGCGTCTTGCTCTGTCACTCAGGCTGGAGTGCAGTGGCGCTATCTTGAATCGATCTTCTGGATTCAAACAGTTCTCCTGTCTCAGCCTCCCAAGTAGCTGGGATTATAAACATGCACCACCATGCCTGGCTAATTTTTCTATTTTTAGTAGAGACGGGGTTTCGCCATGTTGGCCAAGGTGGTGTCAAGCTCCTGACCTCAGATGATCCTCCTGCCTTGGCCTCCCAAAGTGCAGTGATGATAGGCATGAGCTACCGTGTCCAGCCAAACAAGCTGTGTTTTTACCTGACCTTGGACCAATGGAAGTATAAAATTTCCTTGATCAAACCTTGTCGTTACTGTGAAGTCAAACAAATCTCACCTTAGGTACATGTTTACCTGTCCAACAGCAATGCAGTGAGATGGCAGGTCTTAAACACCAAATTAACCGAAGAATTTTTTTTTTTTTTCGGTGCCATGACTCAGATTCGACTAAGAATTTTATTGAAAGAAAAAGTCACTACTTTGATAACAGTCAGGAGGAAAAGTACAGGGGACAGCACCCCTCCTTTACCCTGTTACTATTCACAGATGAGAAAGCACAGAAACTCAATACCAAAGACAGATGAACCCTTTTTACCATGCTGTTTCTTTTAAATTTGTAAAAATTCAACTTTTTTCTACACGTTTTTGATTTTTCTCTCTTTATTTCAAATTTAGGTGGAAAAATTAAATGTAACTTTGCTTTACACTTTAATGCAGTAATAGTAATGTGTCTTCATTATGTAAATGTGTGGAAATACTACTTTTTAGCAGGTTCTTCTATGTTTTCCATGACTCTGATTAGCTATATTCGAGTTATACACCCACATTTTAAAGTAAATCATTGCTTTCTGCCTCCTGTCTCTCCCCAGTTCTCCAGGCTTGCATACTGACAGTCCCATCCAGACACACGCACAACTGCCTAATGGAAACTCACAACCTGAAGAGAGTCAATATTAGCAGCCCTGTAATTTTGGCATCAGGACAGGCACCAGCCATAAAAGTTTGAAAAACATGGCATGGATTATTTTTCAAGCCAAGTGCTATATTTCCTCTCTAGTCTCCTTAGCTGTTTCCCCAAGCTTGTGGCTCTGATTGCATTCCTTGTGTTGCGAGTGCTTGTAGCCCTCCATGCCTTCTTCTGCAGAAAAGGACCACAAGATGGAAGTAGAGCCTGTGTCTTTGTCAGCCCCTTCTCTCTCTTTTGTCTCAGGGACTCTCATCCGCACCCTTATTGTTTTATGTCTTTAGCGAAGGTTGTAAAGATAATGGCATAAACATTTTAACCAAATATATTAACCATGTGGGAACATGGTTAGGGCCTGGGAGAAAGGCATATTTACAAAACAGAGAGATTGAGGCTAATTATTCATTTTATAAACCTGTTCACTGTAGAGTTCCTATAAGTAATGAGAGGTGCTTTTGTGACTGTCCTATAAACCACTGATGACAATGTCCACTGCATCTAGTGAGATAAGATTCTGATGATAAAACCAACATGATACTCTTCCCTTATCGAAGACTTCTTATATGTTGGATATGTTGGTAAATGTCTCTTGATTCTCACAGCAACCCCACATGTGTCCGGTCTGATTTATGAATGTCATCTGTCCTCACTCTGTGCACAGAAAGTTTTAGTTGAGTGGAAGACACATCCAGATTCCTAGACATGTGTTAACACTAAAACTAAACTAAGTACAATGGCCATTTTCAGATCAGTGCATTTGATTTTGTTCACATGTCCTTTCTAAAAGGGAGCCCTTCCATTGCTCCAAGTGTTTTTGTGAAACACTCATATAGATGATAAATGTCTTGTTCTGGCATTACACTTTTTCAAAATGCATTCACTGACTTAATCTCATTGGAAGGTGTATACTGAGAAATGTCAGCCCGTTATATTCTAACACCATCTGTGAAATTGAAGCAGATTATCCTTCATTGGGAGGCTTGCGATTTTTTGGCATTATCATAAGGCCTTTAACAAAATACTTTTATCAGATAATTTTGGTAAAGCATTATGCAGAAAAAGAAAACTCATAGCCAAGTTCAAAATTTTCATTTGCATCTATAAAAATCTTTCATTCATATTGGAAAAATCTGAGCATTCTTTCATGTCGAAGAATGGTGTCATGTATTTATATTAGAACGTTTTGCCCAGAAATCCAGAAAACCCCATTTATACCACTAGCCCTTCCTGGTAAGTTTCATGGTCTGAAATAAGATGTTGAGTTGTGGAAGTCTCAGTTTTTCTATCTGAAGACCACTAATGACCATGCTCTGTGACATTAGGGCGGGATGGGTGTGCTGTCATGTGAACACCACCATCCCCTTCATTTCACTCCATATGCTACCCTCAGAGGGATCTTCTCATAACACCCTTCTTTATTAGACATTCAGACCTCCTTTTGCCTCCAGCCCAAATGTATCATATCATTTAAGGACCCCCAGAATTGGGATCTGTGTTCACCTTTTTAATCTGTCCTGAACTTTGAGCTGTAGCCAGTGCCAGTCCACACACTGTAGACCATGTGCCATCTCCAGCATGCCTCCCACACTTCTGCTTCCTCCCCTTGGTGCACGCCTTTCTCCTCTCTGCATCCGCACAAATCCTACTCATCCTTTACGCCCAGCCCCAATCTCTTGACTACCCCAGCAAGTAGTAATATCTTCCTTTTCTAATTTCTCCAGATCTTGTCTCTCTGTGTTAACGTTTTCAGCTTTTCCGAGGGTTCTTTATTTGGCACACTATTTTTGCCTCGTCTAGATTGCTTTCAAGATTTCTCACATATTTTCTATCTTTTTCTCTCTCTTTAGTAACCCTACACATGCTAAATACTCAATAAACATGGGATTGGTTGTAATTATTAGTTCAGGAATACCAGGTGCTTCAAAAATAATGCTTTGAAAACATTGTACTAGAAAGGAAGAAAACAATATTTGGAGCCAAAGAAATGTTTCTTGATTGAGTTCCTTCCGTGCTGTCTTGCTGGAAGCTTTGAGAGATGTCCATTTTAGGCACTTTAACTGTGATCTCAGTAGGAGGGACAGGTTTGCCACCCTTCTTGAATCCCTGATTTGTGTTATTGGAAGTCTCAGTCATCATAGGAATTGACTCATATAATAAAACAATCAGGAACAACAAAGAAGATGGATGTGTGTGGGATGACTGATAAGCAGCCTTCACTGGAACAGAAGCTCTTGGGGCTCCGTAATTGCGCCTTCTGTGTACACACATGCGCATGTGCACATAAGTGCCTCCGTATGTTTGTGAGATGAATTGGCATTGTTACGATTCTGAAAGATTGTTTTGTTTTATGTTCTACAGTTTTAGCTTTTCCTGCGTATCTGCTAGGGATAAACCAGGACCGGTTAAAAGAAAAGCTAACGAGCCGGCAGATGGATAGCAAGTGGGGAGGCAAATCCGAATCCATCCACGTGACCCTCAACGTGGAGCAGGCCTGTTACACCCGGGATGCGCTGGCCAAGGCCCTGCATGCCCGAGTCTTTGATTTCCTGGTAGATGTAAGTAACACAAGTTGATGTTGGTGATGCTTCATATTTTAGCTATAAAGAGTAAAATTAGTAGGCCGAGCGAGAGTGGTGGCGCATTCCTGTAATCCCAGGACTTTGAGAGCTAAGGTGGGACGATCTCTGCAGCCCGGGAGTTTAACAGCCTTGGCAACATGGTGAGAGCCCATCTTACAAAACACACACACACAAATACAAATTATTCCAGTGTGGTGGCGTATGCCTGTGGTACAAGTACTCAGGAGGCTGAGGTAGGAGGATCACTTGAGCCTGGGAGGTCAAGGCTGCAGTGAGCCAAGATTGTGCCACTGCACTCCAGCCTGGGGGACAGAGTGAGATGCTGTCTCCAACAACAACAACAACAAAAAGAGTAAAATGACTAAGCGTTTGTGTTCCTGTTCTGGCTCCTTCCTTTCACCCATTACCTTACTTTACTTTCTATCTTCTCACTCTGTGATCTCTGAATCCTGTTCTTCCTTTTAGAACTGCCCACCAAGACACCTTAGTTAAATCTAATGTGGCAACAAGTTTCTTCCTGACAAAATATTTAGTAAAGCTAGGATTAGAGACTAGAGAAAGAGGAGACCCACGTTCATGGGCCTTTCTTAACTTTTGGGCCTGAAGATTTAGGAATGCGTTTTTAACATATTGCCGTGTTAGAAATCAACGCAAAACCTAGTGGCTGTAAACCATACGCACTTGTTTTCTCAAATTCTGAGGGTCAGATCTTTGGGATTGACTGAACTTGGTGGTTCTGACTCAAAGGTGAGGTTGCAGTCAAGATGCTGATTGGAACTGTGGTCATCTGAAGTCTGGCTGAAAGATGGATTGCCCATGTGGCTGTTGGCAGGAGGTCTCAGTCCCTTGCTGCATGGACCTCCCCTTGAATGTCCTCATAACATGATGGTTGGTTTTCCCCGGCGTGAGTGATCTGAAAGAGGGAATGAGCAAGAAGCCAGTTTTTTATATCCTAATCTTGGACTCAGGTGTAGTCACTGTGTCACATTCTGTTTGTTAGAAGCAAGTCACTAAGCAAAGTCCACAGTTAAGGGGAAGGGAATGAGGCTCCATCTTTTGAAGGGAGGAATATAAAAAACTTTTGCCATGTATTTTGAAACTGTTAGATATTTTTGGTTATGGCATAATTACATATGTGTGTGTATATATATACGTACACACTTACATATGCATATATATTTATATATGTGTATCACATATATATTCTGAAAATTAGTCTGTCAGCAGTGCAGAGCTGCCGGTAACAATCTGTGTTAATCACTATACCCTCTAAATGGCAGAATAATGATAGCAGGCAGTTATATAGCACTAGTTGTATAAGTGCCCAGACACTGTTCTAAGTATTTTAAAGGGAAAAAACCCTCACTTAATTCTTGCAACAACCCTGTGAGTTAGGTACTATTATCTTTGCTTTACAGATAAATTAAGGGAGGCATCGATTGATTAAGGAATTTTCCCAAGGTCACGCTGTTACTGTGTGATTGATGTAAGCTACATTCCTAGCTATTTTGCTCCTTTGACATTTATATATTCAAGCTAGAAGGACCCTAGTCGAGGGACAGCAGTGGGGCTGTTTGGTCCAAAGAATCTGCATTTTACGCACTAACATCTATGTAGCTTAAAGTACGGTTAGTGTGGTTAGAGTAGGGTTAGGCACGACAGGGTAGGAGAGCTATTCTGGGTACTTCTAGTGGCTTTTTGAAGGATTAAATTGCTTGAGAAGGTCAGGGTCATACTACACAGAAGTCATGCAGTTAGGTTGTCCAGACACCTCATTTTACTGAGAAGGGAATTTCAGGCCTGAGTAATGGTGGCTTTGCCCAAGGCCAATCAGTAGGAGGGCTGTGCAGCCTGGGACTAGAATCCATATCTCTTGTCTGTTTGTTCAGAGCACCTTCCAGCGCTGGGCTTCCTACCCTCCTTCCTTCCTGTCATCTGTCAATTTTTTTTGTAAATAGTAAAAGTAGATGAATGCTTATGTAAGTGATCCTAATTTGAGGTGGCATATACTGGACACTGACTATGTATTGTATATGATTACTTATTCTCTCACGAAAGAGATATTTCATTTTGTTTGCCTGGAAAAACCTCTGATACTTCAGAACCCATCCAGGTATTCAACACCTCAAAGAATTTTTCTCTTACATTCCTCCCCTCCTGCATCAGCCACCAACCCGCTCTATCCTTTACCTCCCGTGCAATCATTAAGTCTGTTCTCATGAATTGGTTGGCCTCTTCTCACAGTGATTTAAAAAAAAAGAAAAGAAAAGTGGCAGGAGAAAAAGAACACAGATTTAGGCATGACACTGCTAAAATTTATTCCCAGACCCTGCTTCTTACTAGAACAATGTTAAGCAAGTCTTGGTGTGTCCATCAGGAAAATGGGGGAAATAATGGTATCACTGCCATTGTGAGAATTGAAATGAGAATTCAGTGAAACCATACATTGAGAGCACTTAGCAAACCCTGGCAAAAGTGAATATTCAGTAGATGTAAGGTGCTTTTATTATCAATTCAAAATTAATGACTATTGTTACTATCCGTAGATAGCTCTCTATAAGCTCCTGGGAACAAGGATGGTCGTTTTTAGCATCCCTGGCATATTGTGTTGGGTCATCACTAAATGACCGGTGAATGGAAGACAATGGAAATGGCAATTACAGAGCCTTCCGTGTGGGTTCTTCATGTGAAATAGGTTTTACTTTGATCATCCAAGGTGACATTTTCTTCTAAGTCTTAAGACTTCCTGAAAAAGCTGACTCGGCCAGAAATTAGTGGTTATCATGATTAAGCAAACATTTTTTGTTTCTACTGTACCTGCTTTTCTGAATCCTGGTGTTTTTTCAAAGTACTCGACTTTGCACTGAGACTTTGTGAATGCAGCAAGTCTCCTGCCTTCACGTTGTCCTCTGCATCCTGCAGGCAGTAGTGTTTGCTGTGTAGCCCAGCTTCCTTTTCCCTAGCACATGCCCATTTTTAGGGTACATGGAAAGGAATTCACTGCCATGCTGTTTACTTTCTCTAGTCCATCAACAAAGCCATGGAGAAGGACCATGAAGAGTACAACATTGGCGTCCTGGACATCTATGGCTTTGAAATATTCCAGGTAAGGCCAGTTTGAATAACTGCGGGTTGAGGAGGGTGACATATTTCATCTCGCCTGCAAGAAGTAATTCTAGGCAATGCAAAAACAAACAAAAAACCACTCAGGTTCGTTTTTGCCTTTCTGAGTTTTTCATGTACCTTTACCAAATTAATTTCTCCTAAATATAAACTTCATTCCATTGATGCTTCCAACATTTCTATTAAAGCCTTTTGTATCAAGAAATTTCAATAAATCACTCAAGAAGTGACTTTTAAATGATTTTATGGAACAATTACATGTGAATAACTTTTTTTTTCCAGAAAAATGGCTTTGAACAGTTTTGTATCAACTTTGTTAATGAAAAACTGCAGCAGATTTTTATTGAACTGACATTAAAAGCGGAACAGGTAAGCAGTCCCTCTTCCTTCATCCTGTTCTATTTATAATTTATTTTGTTTAAGAGGGTATAGATTTCTGTCTTTTGATAACAGATTTGGGTTCCAGTCTTATATTAGGAAATGCACCTAACGAAGTCAGGTAGAAAAACCATAAGCCGTTGTGGCATTTTAATCTGTGAAATATAAATACCATCTGCAGCATTTGCCTTCTTCTTTAAGCAAATGATGCTATGATGTTGGATGTAAGATTGACTGCTTTTACTTTAGTGATTCATTGAGCACGTGGGAAATGGGAGCCTAGTTCCAGCCCTCACTGACTGTGGCATATATTATGTTCCAAATAAAAGACTTGGCTTTCGGCCGAGTGCAGTGGCTCACGCCTGTAATCCAAGCACTTTGGAGGCCAAGGCGGGCAGATCACCTGAGGTCAGGAATTCAAGACCAGCCTGACCAACATGGTGAAACCCCGTCTTAAAAAAAAAAAAAAAAAAAAAAAAAGACTTGGTTTTCTCAGATTTACTCCATTCTCAGTCTTCCCTAATAATACATGCATTTTTAACAAAACTGGTATTTCAATATTTATCGGAGGTAACATGCGTTGCTATAGTTTCTTCTAAAGTTTGATGCAAGCTAGGTGCTGTGGCTCATGCCTATAATCGTAGCACTTTGAGAGGCCGAGTCAGGAGAATTGCTTGAGCCCAGGAGTTTGAGATCGGCCTGTGTGACAAAGTGAGACCCCATCCATACAAAAAATAAAATAATTAGCTGGGCGTGGTGGCAAAAGCCTGTAGTCCCAGCTTCTCTGGAGGCTGAGGTGAAAGGATTGCTTGAGCCCAGGAGATGGAGGCTACATCATCACACCACTGCACTCCATCCTAGACAACAGAGCAAGACTCTGTCTCAAAAATAAGTAATAGCTGGGCGCGATGGCTCACACCTGTAATCCCAGCACTTTGGGAGGCCGAGGCAGGTGGATCACTTGAGGTCAGGAGTTCAAGACCAGCCTGGCCAACATGATGAAACCCCGTCTCTACTAAAAATGCAAAAATTAGCCAGGCATGGTGATGTGTGCCTATAGTCCCAGCTACTTGGGAGGCTGAGGCAGGAGAATCACTTGAACGCAGGAGGCAGAGGTTGCAGTGAGCTGAGATCACACCACTGCACTCCAGCTGGGGCAATAGAGCAAGACTTAGTCTCAAAAAAAAAATAATAATAATAATAAATAAATCGTTCAGAGCGGTGTCCGTTGTTTGCTGATATCATATTGTTTAGGATTCCTGGGGCCACCATAACAAAGCACCACAAATTGAGTGACTTTAAACAGTAGCACTTTCTTCCCTACCAGTTCTGGCGCCCAGAGCTGAAATCTGGCCACACGCCTTGTCAGGATGGAGGGGAGAATACTTCCTCTTCTAGTTCCTGGTGGCCCCTGGTATTTCTTGGCTTATGGCGGTTTGACTCTAGTCTCTGCCTGTGTCTTCACATAGCCTTTTTCAGTGTCCCTCTGTGTCTATATTCAAATCTCCATCTCTTTTCTTTTATGAAGACACCATTTTAGCTTTGCACAGTGGCAATATTGTGGCCAGTGAGGTTTATCGGAGTCATGATTATTGCTAAGTGAAAACTTTTTGCAATACCCCGCCATGACGACTTGAAATATAGTTGGCATTGACAGTTTTTGACAGTCTCTATGGAGAGTAAACTGTAAAGAAAGAAAAAGAAAAACACTATTCTTTGGATTTCAAGTTCACTCTAAACCCAGGATGACTTATTGTGAGATCCTTAGTGGATTACCTTTATAAAGACCTTATTTCCAAACCTCGCATTCTGAGGTTCCAGGTGGGCATGAAATTTTGGGGATACTATTCAAGCCACTGCACACATCAAAGGCTGTTTTGGGATCATTTAGTTATGGAAGTGTTCATGCCTCTGCGTAGAAAATACCATACCAGGGGAAATACCAGGCCCAGGAACCTGCCTATGGCTGTTTTGCTCTAGCTACCCTAGGGCTTGGGGAAGGCTAGAGGTTCGCATGAAACCCATTCTACCATTGCTGCCTAAGTCCTTACCACATCCAGCCCAGCCTACTGCAGTAGCCTCCTAACCGACTTGGTAGTCTCCCTATGGGTTTCACATGAACCTCTAGCCTCCCTCAACCCTTAGAGTAGCTAGAGCAAAACAACCGAGTAAGAGTGCAATAGCGAATGAGATGGGATGGGGAGGTAGGGGCTAGATCTTATGGGGACTTTGCAGGGCATGGCTGAGACTTTGGGCGTTATAGTAAGTGGAATGAGGACCCATGGAAGAATTCTGAATGAGGAGTGACAGGATCTGATTTGTCATTTGTGTTTTTGGAAAGGTCTCGGGCTGTTATAGACTTACAGAGTAGGGTGAGGCAGGGGAAAGCAAACTAAAATGGAAGCTTAAAAACCAGTGAGGGGGCTATTGTAGGAGACTGTGCTAGACATGGTAGAGACTTAGACGGCCATGGTAGCAGTGCAGGTGGTGAGAGGGAGTATCTGGAGAGTGAGCCAATGGGACTTGCTCAAAATAATTAGCAATAACCAAGAAAGAGGAAGCAATCTCGGGCGATTCTCAGCTTTATACCCTGGATAACAGGGCCGATGGTGACACTGTTTACTGGAGAATGAGATTAATCAAGGGGTTGTTTGGAGGCCGTGGGAAATGTGGAATCAGAGTTCCTCTAAACAGGTTAGATTTTAGAGGCCTATTATACTTCCAAGTGAAGATCCCAATCTATAGGATGGATTTAAGCCTGGAACCCTGTGGTGAGGTCTAGACTAGAGAAATAAATTCAGGAGTCATTATCCTGTAGGTGGTATTTAAAGCTATGGGACTGATTGAAACCACCTAGAGAAGGAGGGCTGAGAAAATGAGAAGGCTGGAAGATTGAACCCTGAGATTCCACCACATATAAAGGTCTGGAAAGAAGAAAGAGCTGGCACAGGAAGCCGACAAAGTGAGACCAGTGAGGGAGGAGGAAAAAACAGGACAGTGTTGCAGTGTTCAAGTTAAATGAGTAACTAATAGACTGAAGAACCTTCCCGTTAAGTACCTTGATGCTAATCTGTACTCCTGTCCTATGTTAAATTTTAAGAGTTTTATGATTTATCAGTTTGGTACTACTAAATTGTCAAAAACAATTGTTTGGTAACAATTTCATACAGTTCAAACTAAACGTAAAAATTACCAAGTAATAAAATGTTCCTTCCTATTACCTCTTAGAAAATAAGAAATTCAAGTTCCTACTCTTTGTTGGAGGACTTTCAAGTTTTTCTCTTTCATGGGAATTTTTGTCCATTCAGGGTCTCTCCTTGCAGGGCTCTTGCTGTTTGGGTAATAATGTGAGTTCCTGGTTTCTGTCTTACAGGAAGAATATGTTCAAGAGGGAATAAGATGGACACCCATTGAGTACTTTAATAACAAAATTGTGTGTGACCTCATAGAGAACAAAGTGGTAAGTGTTGGTTTCGTATGTCTTGTCACTGCTGACAGGTTTACATTGACTTTCTGTTCTCTGTGTCATTGTTTTACAACAGGCAAAGTGACAACACTGATTTGCAGAGAATTTGAGCAATTGTACTACTTTATGTGTGAAAAGAGAACACTAGGGCTTTATTCTGGTAGTAAATATGAACATGTGGATTTGAGTAAAATGTCAATTTACAAATGGAAGTTGTTACTGAATTCTAAGAGTAGACAACTGTCACATGATAACATAGCATGTGAAGAGCCATAACACTGGCCCTGTGTTCTAGTCCAACTTCTAGGACTTTAGCCCTAATGACTGTTTCAGGCCAGGTGTGGTGGCCCATACCCATAATCCCAGTAATTTGGGAGGCTGAGGCAGGTTGAGCACAGGAGTTGAAGACTAGCCCAAGCAACATGGTGAGACCCTGTTTCTAAACACAAGCTTTAGCTAATATGAAAATTGTATTAGCTAAATACAAAAATTAGCCAGGCATGGTGGTGTGCACCTGTGGTCCCAGCTATTCTTGAGGCTGAGGTGGGAGGATCGCGTGAGACTGGGAGGTTGAGGCTGTGGTGAGCTGAGATTGCACCACTGCACTCCAGCCTGGGTGACAAAAAAAGACAAGAACATGTCTCAAAAAAAAAAAAAAAAAAAAAAAAATTCAAAATAAAATAAAAGTGATATATAACAGATATTTCTGTAGGACTTTTTATAAAACTGAAAACAGTAAAAATATCCATAGACAACTTAGTTATTAAACAATCTATAGTGTATCAGAACCGAGAAATACAGCCATTAAAATAGTAAGTATGAAGAATATGTAAAACATGAGGAATGCTTATAAAATAGCTGGGCACAGTGGCTCAAGCCTGTAATCGTAGCACTTTGGGAGGCCGAGGCGGGCAGATCACCTCAGGAGATCGAGACCATCCTGGCTAACATGGTGAAAACCCATCTCTAATAAAAATATGAAAAAATTTGCTGGGGGTGGTGGCACATGCCTGTAGTTCCAGCTACTCAGGAGGCTGAGGCAGGAGAATCACTTGTACCTAGGAGGCAGAGGTTGCAGTGAGCCAAGATCATGCCACTGCACTCCAGTCTGGGTGACAGAGCAAGACTCTGTGTCAGTAAAAAAAATAAATAAAATTAGTGCTATGTGAAAAAAGAAATGCATTATAGAATGTGTACACTAAATAATTATATAAATGATAACTACATGGGTAACTGGCCAAAAAAGAACATTAAGAAAGAGATTCGGTCAAAAGAAAATGTTTTTATTTTACTTTTGGATTCTGAAAGTGAATTTGGCATGAATATGAGTGAGCAGATACTGATCTGTGCATGACTCTTGGATAAGACTTCAGGGAGTTAAACAGTTTTTTGGAAAATAGAGTTTCCTCCCTCTTTAGATCTAAGTGGTGACTCCCCATTTGGGACTATTAATTACATTCTTGCCTGAAGGGGAAGACTGACTTTCAAGATGGTATCTTAAGTCAGGGGAGGTGTTCCTTTGCCTAAAAAAGGACTTGTCTGTTTTGGAGAGGTCAGTGACTAAGGCCTTGCCTTCTTGGTCTCATTAGAACCCTCCTGGCATCATGAGCATCCTGGATGACGTGTGCGCCACGATGCATGCGGTGGGTGAGGGGGCAGATCAGACGCTGCTCCAGAAACTTCAGATGCAGATTGGGAGTCATGAGCACTTCAACAGCTGGAACCAAGGCTTCATCATTCACCATTACGCTGGGAAGGTATGGCCGATATCCATTTTAATGTCTATCTGCTTTAAGCCTTTTGGTCTGTGATCTGTTTTCTCATGAAGCAAATGACATGCCTTGCTGTATTAGTCATTCAACAAATAGAACTTACTATCGAGGGAGGCAAAACAAAAGACTGTATATATTAATGCACATTTTTTTTTGAATGTACATACTTTTTACATTGTAGAGGAGGGTACTACTTTTTTTTTTACAGCATATAAATGAACATAGGTATAAGCCAGCAAGAATGAAATAACTAACAAACATCTAATGAAAAGAAGCAGAATTTCTAAAACACAAATACCTACATCCTACTTTTGGGAACCAAATGCCAACTACTTATATATATATAACAAGCCAAGTGCTGCTACATCAGAGGTACCAAACACACTTTCTTTAGGAATTGTAAATAAGTATCATCCAGCACCTGGATGCTGAATCAAAGAGCTGGAGGACTAAATAAATAGGAAAGTCACTCTACCCACTTTCCTGTTTCCATCTTTCAAGAATTCAAGTTTTTTTTCAAATTTTTGATAAAAATATCCTGCATCTGTGATCTCCTCAACAATATAGGAATGGTACTTTTATGTTTTTTTCTTTTTTTTTTTGTCTTTTTGATTTTTTTCCTTTTTATGGAGAACGGGCTGTCTTGCCCAGGCAGGTCTTGAACTCCTGGGCTCAAACTATCCTTCCGCCCCTGCCTCCCTAAGAGCTGGGATTACAGGCGTGAGCCACAGCGCCCAGCCAGAATGGTAGTTTTAGACAACTTTAGAGCTTAAGCTCCTTCTGAATTTCCCAAAGTGTTTTTGCACTCTTCTTCAGATGAGCCTCCTCTTCAGGAGTCAGCTTTATCTTTATAAGGTTGGTAATACCATTCTCTCCCAGGATACAAGGAATACTGAGGAACACTTCTTCATCTATTCCATAGAGGCCCTTAATTATGGTGGAAACTGGATGTGTTCTCCTAAGATTCTTCAAAATACTTTCTGTTAAATCAGCTACAGATAGGCCAATAGCCCAAGAAGTATAACCTTTCATTTTAATAATCTCATAGGCACTAGCAATCACTTCTTTGTGGACGTTTTTCCATTGCTCAGGATCTTTATCAGTTCCTATATCAGAGTTGAGATCCTTGAAGGGGACACCAGCTATGTTGACTCCACTCCACACAGGAACACTTGAGTCTCCGTGCTCTCCGAGGATCCATCCGTGGCAGCTTTCAGAGTGGATACCAAGCTTTTGTCCAATCAAGAAACGAAAACGAGCAGTATCCAGATTACAGCCGCTTCCAATAACACGATTTTTGGGAAATGCAGTCAATTTCCAGGCTACATAAGTTAAGATATCCACTGGATTGGAAACAATAATCAGTTTGCAGAGGGGGCTGTACTGGACAATAGTGGAAGTCATTAACTTGAAGATGGCCACATTTCGCTGGACTAAATTAAGGCGCGTCTCTCCCTTTTCTTGGCGTGCACCTGCTGTGATAATCACTAGGTTGGAGTTTGCTGTGACACGGTACTCTTTGCTACAAACAATATTTGGCATTTTCATGAAAGGGCTGCCATGTTGAAGATCCATTGTCTCACCCTTCAGTTTCCCTTCATTAAGATCCACAAGGGCAAGTTCATCAGTCAAGCCTTTTAATAAGATGCTGATAGCGCAGGCCATGCCCACCGACCCAGTTCCTATGATAGAGACCTTACTGTGATGAACGGGCTTCTCGGAAGTGAAGCTCTCCATAAGCTCACTCTTCACAGTCGCCATCTTGCTCACGGGGGTGAAGAGCCAAGTGCCCTTGAGCGGCAGGCGCGCCGCCTGACGGGGACACAGGGCCGTCCCCAGGCACAGGAAATTCACCGCCGCCGAGCTCACTCTCTGGGTGGCCAGCACAACAGGCACGGTCCAACTCATGGCTGTTCACTCAAGAAGTGGAGGGAGAGAACGGAAAAAAAGCTGCTGATCAAAACGTCGAGACGCCAAGAGAGCCGTTGTCAGCACCGTCAGCCCTCAACGGCCAGTGCGCATGACCCGCCCCCGACTCTCTACTGCGACTGCGCGGGCCTTGCCAGCGCTTCCAACACGTGCTTTCTGTGGGTGCTCAGACCGAGGTGGTGAATGGCTGCTTCTCTAGCAAGTGATTTCTGGAGTTTGTTTTACCAAGAATATTCTCATCAAGAGCTTACATGTTTAAGAAGCTAACTCGGAACCCTGGAATTACTAGTTTTCTATTTTTAGCATGAATGCCAAGAAAAATGCTTCTGTTAACCGCAGCTGGAAATAAGGTTACATCTGAACCGTGACCCTGCCAGGAAGGATAGGGCACCATGCCTTGTGTACCAGTAGCTGCTTGCACCATCTCCCAGTGTCCCAGAGTGGGCTCCTGCTTTCTGATGTGTGGTCTGGAGGCCTATTTATTTATATATTTATTTTTTGAGATGGAGTCTTGCTCTGTCACCCAGGCTGGAGTGTAATGGCACAATCTGAGCTCATTACAACCTCTGCCTCCCAGGTTCAAGCAATTCTCTTACCTCAGCCTCCCAAGTAGCGGGATTAATAGGCATCCACTACCATGCCCACCTAATTTTGTCTGTTTTTTTAAAGTAGAGACAGGGTTTTACCATGTTGGCCAGGCTAGTCTCGAACTTCTGACCTCAGCTGATCAACCTGCCTCAGCCTCCCAAAGTGCTGAAATTACAGGCATGAGCCATTGTGGCCAGCCTAGAGGTTTATAAAGGGTCCCACTGCCTTGGTGCCAGTCCTGGCCAGGACCCATACTGCAACAGTCAACAGGAGCTTGAGCTGGGTAGGGGCTGCCTGGGAGTCATCCAGCACTAAAAACTCACCATACTACTGCATATTTTTAGAACATGAATTATTACTCTGCTACATATATTAGCTGTTGAAGAAATGGATTTTCATCTTGCCTCTTGCTGCAATCACAGACCTGCATTCCTTGTCTGACCGTGCTGACTGGGTGTAAAAATGAAGGTCCGGAGTTCACTCTTGGTGTTGTCCTCATAAAATGCATGAGTATTGGGTGCCTACTGGGTGCCAGGCTGTGTAGGGCTGCTGATGATCAAAAAGTAAGCTGAGGTCATGGTCTTGGGGACTTCCTCATCCTGCGAAAATCCCCTGGTCTCATCCATCATCCCTGCTGATCTCTTGTTGAACAGAGTATCAGCATGAGTTTCTGGCCAGACTGGTGCAAATTTGATACCACTTTGGGAGAAATTGCAAAGCCTCAGATGACATGGCTCACTGCAGTGAATTGCCAAACATGAGGGGTTTCACCTTTGCTCTGTCTTAGCTAAAATTTAGGAAAAGAATTGAGTTTATCACTTAGACACCCTATGGATCCACCGAAGAAGGGGTATGGGGCCTTTAGAATTGGAGTTTTGATTATTGAGGATTTGAGCTATCCTGGCCACCAGATCCTCATCAGCATCTGCAGGCCATCCCCACTAAGCCACCTAACAAGTAAGACATGTGCACAGCCTTCCTGTGACAGTGCACAACGAAATTCCAAATGCAGCATCTGGAAATCCACACGTTGTGGTGAGGGTAGCCTTGCCAGCTTGGGTTTTTTGTTTAGCGAAGCTACATTTTTTTGTTCAATGAATGATTTTGCTGAATGAATTACATTTTGTTCAATGAAATTAGATTTTTTTCTTTTCTTGGCCAGGTATCCTATGACATGGATGGTTTTTGTGAAAGGAACCGGGATGTGCTTTTTATGGATCTCATCGAGCTTATGCAGAGCAGTGAGCTGTAAGTATGTTTTGCCATAGCTGTCAAGGGATATAGGTTTGATGACCTATATCAATATGAAAATAAACTTGTGAGCTGGGTATAATGGTGTGCGCCTACAGTCCCAGCTACTGGGCAGGCTGAGGCAAGAGGATCACTTGATCCTAGCAGTTTGAGGCTGCAGTGAGCTGAAATCGCTCCTATGAATAGTCACTGATTTCTAGCCGGGCAACATAGGAAGATCCTATTTCTAATACAGAAAGAATAAAGGCCGGGTACGATGGCTCATGCCTGTAATCCCAGCACTTTGGGAGGCCGAAGTGGGCAGATCGCAAGGGCAGGAGATCGACACCATCCTGGCCAACATGGTGAAACCCCATCTCTACTAAAAATACAAAAATTAGGTGGGTGTGGTGGTGCGTGCCTGTAACCCCAGCTACTCAGGAGGCTGAGCTAGGAGAATCGCTTGAACCAGGGAGTCGGGAAGTTGCAGTGAGCCAAGGTTGTGCCACTGCACTCTAACCTGGCAACAGAGTGGGACTCCATTTCAAAAAGAAGGAAAAAGAAAAACAAAACAGAGCACCTGTGATGTTTAGTGGTTAGCAGTTTGTCCTTTGTGCTATTGGGTCTGGATTATCATTCATCTATTTGTTTTCTCAAAATAGCTTTCTTTTTTCCTATATCAGTCTCTCCCTTATGTCCCTAACACTTATGCTCCTGAATTCCAAGTGCCATCTACATGTCCTTCAGGACCTCAGGCTTTCTACCTTTCAGTACTATTATCAGGAAGAAGTGAGCACACTGGGTTTGGATTGAGATGGCCATTTCTGACCATTTAAGAAGGGAACCATCTATGATACTTTGCCCCTGAACTCTTCTTCATTGTCATTGAATTTTTAAATATGGTTAATGACTTAGCAAGACCCACAGTAAGCAGAGTCGCTGAAGTACTTAAGAAATGGCTTGAGGTAGCGCGGTGGCTCATGCCTGTAATCCCAGCATTTTGGGAGGCGGGATCACGAGTTCAGGAGATCCAGACTATCCTGGCTAACACAGTGAAACCCCGTCTCTACTAAAAATACAAAAAATTACCCGGGCGTGGTGGCATGCACCTATAATCCCAGCTACTTGGGAGGCTGAAGCAGGAGAATCGCTTGAATCCGTGTGGCAGGGGTTACAGTGAGCTGAGATCATGCCACTGCACTCCAGCCTGGGCAACAGAGTGAAACTCCATCTCAAAAGAAAAAAAAAAAAGAAATGGCTTGAGAACTCTGGGAGGAACAACTAAAGGAGGAGTGACTCAGAGATCCATTTGAATTCCCAAGACCCTGTTTAAGCTGTAGGGGTAGCACAGTTGGGGGTATCCGTCTTGCATCAAACCACCTCTGCCTTCCTTTCCTCTTCCTTGAAAGGGTTCTCACGATCCTGGATAAACACACAGGAGATGAAATTTACACAAGCAGGCCTTGCATGTAAGGCAAAGCCCATGCATGCCAGATCTTACAATTTCTAGCACTTCCTCCAATTAAGAGCTGCCCTTTTGGTCTCTATTTCTAAAGCTGTCAGAATAGCAAGGCCAGCTTCTCTAATCAATGACAGCAAACCTGATAACTTCCTAATAAAGGCCTGACTGCAGTGAAAGTAAAGCCAGTGTTTCCTTTTCAGGCCCGGGTCAGTTGTTCTGCTCCATTTACTTCTCTCTCTGCAGCTCCCTGCTCCTCCTCACCTTCTGCTCTCCATCCCTGCCCTTCCTTGCAGTCACACCACCATTTCTGAGATTTTGCATTTCTTTTCATTCAAAACATGCAATATCTATTTGTTCTTCTCTGAAATGGTTAGGTAAGCCACAAGTCCTGGCTTGTGGGTTTTATGGCAGCCGGGTGCAAACTTGTTTCCAGATATTGTTTGTTAAAAACTAGTAAAATTCCTGCCAAGTTTAAGAGCTGTTATTGCTTCCACATAAACTGCTGTCATATAGGCCATGGCCTATTATTTTGTAAGCACATTTGATGTCAAAATCTGTAGTTTTATCTGGTCAAGTTAAAAGTAGATTACTGGGGAGACTTCCTGGAAAATTCAAGTACCCAATAAGTCATTGAGGAGGAAGTGAGTTTGAGTGTCAGATTGCTAATTTACATGGATCCCATCATTTACCCAGTCAGCAAATACACATTATGGACCAACTGTGCAGCATGCTATGCTTCAGACACCAGGGGCATAAGATGAATAAGGCATTGCCCTTGCCCTTTTGCTAGTGAGGCAGACATATAAACACATGCAGCTCAGTTAGTACCACTAATGAAAGTGTATTCAGCAGGCAGAGCATTCGTGATTTGTTACTGCCCCGTTTAAAATTGCTCATACTCAAAAGCAGTTTGTGAGGGTTTTCTGTGTGGAGCTGGGAACAGTGTACTAGTGGCATCTGGTAAGCAGAGGCCATGGATGCTGCTGAATATCCACAATGTGTAGAAGAGGCCCCCTCCTCAGAATTATTCAGAATAATTAAAGAATTATTGAGAATTAAAGAATTGTTCAGCTGCAGCTACCAGTGGTGCCCAGGCTCAGAAATTCTGCTCTAGAGCCAAGCAGCATCAGCACTGAATCCAGACATTTCATATAGTTCCCTGAGCTCTGGTCTTACTTGTCTTAACAAACCCATGCTGGCTGGACACAGTGGCTCACACTGGTAGTCCCAGCAGTGTAGGAGGCTGAGGCAGGAACACCACTTGAGCCCAGTTGTTTGAGACCAGTCTTGAAAACGTGACAAAACCCCGTTCTTTTCAAAAAATATGAGAATTAGCTGGGCATGGTAGTGCCTGCCTGTAGTCCCAGCTATTCAGGAGGTTGAGGTGGGAAGATGGCTTGAGCCTGGGAGGTCAGGCTGCAATGACCTGTAACTGAACCCCGGCATACTAGCCTGAGCAACAGAGCAAGACCCTGTCTCAAAAAGAAAACAAAAACCCTAAAATCCCATACTGACTTCCCCCTGTTAGGTTCTCCTGTCAAGATATACCTCAATTCCTGTCTAGGGACGTTGGAAAGGCAGAGTTTTAAAATTTATTTTGCAGTCCTTGATTCCAAGTTGCTGATATCTTAGAATTCTTTCCCTTCGTGTCTTTTGTCCCTTGGTCATTTCCCCAAGTCACATCTTGATGGCCTGTGCTGTGAGTCAGACGGCTTTTCTATAGCCAAGGTTTTGTGCCTGGGGACAGCCCTCCACTCCATCCTTTAGAAAGGCAAGCTTTCAGCCCCCAAGGGACTTACAGATTGCTAATTCATTCTCTTTCTCCTTTTCCAGACCTTTTATAAAGTCTTTATTTCCGGAAAATCTGCAAGCTGACAAGAAAGGGCGCCCAACTACTGCCGGAAGCAAAATAAAGGTTAGTTCTATTTTAGAAAATGAATAGATTCTTATAAGGGCTGGGGTTTTCTAGGACTCAGGAACTGCAGCCCTGGGCCAGGATGAGGTCAGTGAGATGTGAAGGGGTGGTTACAGAAGATGCCCAGAAGTAATATCACTGCTTATTAAAAGGTTCCAGGATACTAGCCGAATTTGACTTGGCTGTACCCGAAACCTTAGGTGGATGTTAAGTACCTCGTAGCTTAATAGTCAGCAGATGATAATCAGCTACTTTCTAAGAGGAAATGGCTTTAAACAGAATCTGGAAGAATTTATGTTAAACTAGCAGAGAAATGTTATGGTTCAGAGCCGTGTTTTAGATACTGATGACAGTTGTCCCGGCCGGGCCCCAAAACCTGCCAGTTATGGAACGTAGCTTGACAGAAATTCTACTTGGTCTTTTAGGAGCAATTTATGTCTCCCTCCTCACTGGATCTTGCAGGCTTCTCCTTGCTGTGACTCACAGACACATCTGGCCACATGGTGTCTCAAGTCTGAAGGAAATCTTAAAGTGTTTCTCAGGAAGTAGGCAGAGCTCTGTGGTACCTGAGCCGTTGTGTGGCGAAATTCATCGTCCTTAGCTACACTCTGAATTAAGAGTTTGAGTCAGCCAGATGTGGTGGCTCACACCTGTAATCCCAACACTTTGGGAGGCCAAGGAGGGAGTATTTCTTGACCCCAGGAGCTCAAAACCAACCTGCACAACATAGTGAGCACCCCCATCTCTACTAAAAATAAAAATTAGACAGGTGTGGTGGCTCACACCTATGCCCTCAGTTACTTGGGAGGCTGAGGCAGGAGGATCGCTTGAGTCCAGGAAGTCAAAGCTGCAGTGAGCCGTGATGCTCCAGGCTGGGGGACAGAATGAGGCTCTGTCTCCAAAAAAAAAAAAAAAAGTTTTGTCATTGTGTCACACACACTTAATCATGTAATTGAGAAGTACTCACTAAACCATTTTTTAAAATCATACTGGTTGTAAAAATTATACCAGCTAAATATTTCCTTAGTTTTATAGTCAAAGGAATGGTGGAGTGACAGCAGGGCTTTGAGGTTGGCTTGCCCGTGTTCGAATCTCAGCTCTGGCTTTTCTTAGCGGTGTGCTTGCCAAGCTGTCACTTACTCTCTTGGTGCCCTCACCACTTCCCTGTAATATGGAGATCTTAGTGCCTATCTTAAGAGGTTACACTGGTGGTTCAGTTTCATAATTCATCAGAAGCATTTAACACAGTGCCTGAGACATGGTGAACACAAGATGTATATGTGCTCTGACTACATTCTTCCCTGATAGCCCCATTCCTATACCACCGTTGTCTCTGCTTAATTTTCTTTTCTTTTTGTAAAGTTAAGGTCTTCCATTGTCACCCAGGCTGGTCTTGAACTCCTCAGCTCAAGCGATCCTCCCACCTCAGCCTCCAAAGTGCTGGGATTACAGGCATGAACCACCGAGTCCAGCCTGGGCTTTCAGCTGTAGGGTTGAGCCCTCTGGGTTTCAAGAACATTATGTTGAAAGAACTAGAGAAATTTAGTAGCCCCAGTACAGTCACTGGGTTAGGTTCACTGGAGCAGAGAGCTGAAGGCAGAAAACAGATGAAATTCTCATGAGGCGGTGATATTAATGTCTGCATGAAGTTTCTGACTCATGCCTTTACTGCAAGGTCCTGGATAAGGATTAACTCTGGGCTGGAAAATCGAGTCATAAGACTGTCACATTCAGATCCAAGGGGCCCAGATCATCCAGGTTGTGATGACTCATTTCCAAGTGGTCTGGATTATTCTTTATAAAAAGGAGAGCAAGGGTGGGGACACTTCTTTCCTCCTTGTAGACTTGTCCCCTTTCTTTCCTTCATATGCTTGTCTAGTCGAAGGCTCAAGGTGCCATCATTCTTGGGTGTTTCCAAAATGTTCAGGATTAGAAGTCTCAGGCTCTTGCCTAGGGAAGTCAAGCTAAAGTCAGCCAGTTGACCTAAAGGGATAGCAGTGTGTTTACCCACCCAGGCACACTCTCCTTGGTGCACAGTGTGACCTCTGACTGCCTGGCTGTCTGCCTCCACGTAGGAATAGAAGTTTCTCCACGTACTTCTTATAGATACATAGCTGTGGCCCAATCGCTGCTTTCCATTCCCACAGCATTTTGCAGACATCATGGTGATCTTAATGATATCCCTGGGGCATAAGCATTTAAAAGGATTCTGATTTCCTTGAAAGAAAAATTAAACTTGTGTTCCAAGTCATCTCAGTGTTACGTATTTCATTATATTCTAATTACTTAAAAATTTAAACTGATTTGTAGGATTTAACTAATAGAATATTCATTTGATGGGAACTCTCATTATCTTGATTATAAATAAAAGTACAAATATAGTAATATTTAATAGCACTTGATTTTGAGGTTTCACTAAATTCGCTATTGTTGTGGCTAGAAGGGACCAGTACAGGTTGAGCATCCCAAATCCTGAAATGCTCCAGTGAACATTTCCTTTGAGCATCATGTTGGTGCTCATAAAGTTTCAAATTTGGGAGCATTTTGGATTTCAGTTCTTCAGATTCAGGGTACTCAACTATAAAGTATAATGCAGGCTGGGAATGGTGGCTCATGCTAATCCCAGCACTTTGGGAGGCTGAGGTGGGTGGATCATTTGAGGTCAGGAGTTCGACACCAGCCTGGCCAACATGCTGAAACCCCGTCTCTACGAAAAACACAAAAATTAGCTGGTGTGGTGGCAGGCGCCTGTAATCCCAGCTACTCAAGCGGCTGAGGAAGGAGAATCTCTTGAGCCCGGGAGATGGAGGTTGCAGTGAGCTGAGGTTGCAATGAGATCATGCCATTGCACTCCAGCCTGGGCGACAGAGCAAGACTCCATCTCAAAAAATAAAGTATAATGCCAATATTCCAAAATCTGAAAAAATCCAAACTCCAAAACACTTTTTGTAACAAGCATTTCAGATAAGGGATACTCGTCTGTATTTAAATTAGAGCCCAAGATTGATGCTACAGAGAGTCAGAATCAAGCTAAGAGGTGACAAAGGTGGACTGGCTACAGCTTTATCTGAGTGTAGCTGGAACTATAAAGGGACGTGACAGAGGAGGTGCAGGCATCATGCAGGTGATTGGACTGGTTGGGGTTTTTTTTTGTTTTTGTTTGTGGTGGTGGTGGTGTTTTGTTTTTTGTTTTTAAGACAGAGCCTCACTCTGTTGCCCAGGCTGGAGTACAGTGGTGCTTCTTGTGACCTTAAAGATAACGCCCATCTCAGCCTCCAAAAGTGCTGGGATTACAGGAGTGAGCCATTGCGCCCAGCCTGATTATTTGGCTTTTAATATCGATTTCAATCTCTAGATTAAATTAGAGGTCTTCTAGTGCATCCTATTTAGTTTACAGATAGAGAACTGGGGGCCAGAGAAATCTAGTGATTAGTCACGTAGCTTGCAAATAAAAGGGCAGGACCCTCAGTCAGGCCTGCTGTTGGCTCTGTTGAAGTGTAAAATGAAGTGCTTTCATTCTAAGCCCTTTCTCACTGTGCTATCTGCATGTTTTAACACCTGCTTCTATTAAGCAAGTGCTGTTTGTACCTTTCTGTCCTAACTCAGGAACGCTTCTTGGCTAGAATCAGGATTAAATTCAGTTACTGCTTCACAACCACCTCCGGAGACATGTTAAACTGACCCAAGGCTGGGCACAGTGGCTCATGCCTGTAATCTCAACAGTCTGGGAGGCCAAGGTGGGAAGATTGCTTGAGGCCAGGATTTGAGACCAGTGTGGAAAATATAGTGAGACCCCATCTCTACAAAAAAAAAATTTTTTTTTAAATTAGCTGGGGCCAGGCACGGTGACTCATGCTTATAATCCCAGCACTTTGGGAGGTCAAGGCGGGTGGATCACGAGGTCGGGAGTTCAAGACTAGCCTGGCCAACACAGTGAAACTCTACTAAAACTACAAAAATTAGCAAGGTGTAGTGGCGGGTACCTGTAATCCCATTTATTTGGGAGGCTGAGGCAGGAGAATTGTTTGAACCTGGGAAGCGGAGGTTGCAGTGTGCTGAGATCATGCCACTGCACTCCAGCCTGGGCAACAGAGTGAGACTCTGTCTCAAAAAAAAAAAAAAAAAGGTTGTAATTAAATACGAAACTAAAATCTAAAAGTAAAGTTTAAAAAATTGAGAATTTAGGGACTTAAAAAGTTTTGTTATATGCAACTCTGCAGACCCTCTCCATCTCCACCTGATGTGTTGTAAAAATCATCAGATTTGTTCTGAAGTGCAGTCTACATCATCAAAGAACGTAAAAGGCAATTTACTTTTTCATCATAGGACTTTGCTTTGATCATGCAACCTCTGCAGCCCTGTCTGTCCTCAGTTTCAAGCATCGCCAAGGGTGCTGTTTCCTGCACATCTAAACAGAGAACTTAATTCACCAACGAATATCCTGCTTTGAATATACTCAGTAGTTTTTCCCAAGGGTTTCAGATTTCTCAAACCCATGAAAACAGAAAAGCCCTAATTGAGAGAGGTTGTCTCTCTTCTGCTGACTTTGTAATGGTTTTCTGGCTTTGGAGGCCCCTCTGGGCTTTTTCCTTTTGGAGGTTTTCTCCCTTGCTGCTTTGCTTGGAAGTAGAGTTCACATGTGTGCCATATCCTTGGACCCACAGGATGTGCTCAGCTGTGGGGTAGGAATGCTGATGTGAGCTCTACTCCCGTTTATTCAAACAAAGATTGAGATTCTCAGGGTTTAAAATACTTCCTAAGCAATTTCAGCTTTATTTATGTGGTTTTCTCTGTTTGAACCCAATTCTACTTTGGGTACCCAGTACTCAGGCATTAATAGATGGCTTTATATAGAATATTCTAGATTTGCAAAGAAGTAAGTTATCAGCCACATATAAAGTGTTCAGACTCTCGGCCGGGCACTGTGGCTCACGCCTATAATCCCAGCACTTTGGTAGGCTGAGGCGGGTGGATCACGAGGTCAAGAGATCGAGATCATCCTGGTCAACATGGTGAAACCCCGTCTCTACTAAAAATACAAAACATTAGCTGGGTATGGTGGCGCACGCCTGTAGTCCCAGCTACTTGGGAGGCTGAGGCAGGAGAATTGCCTGAACCCAGGAGGCGGAGGTTGCGGTGAGCCGAGATCGTACCATTGCACTCCAGCCTGGGTAACAAAAGTGAAACTCCATCTCAAAAAAAAAAAAGTGTTCAGACTCTGCAGGTTTTAAAATGGACATATTGAGGAAGAAAGTGAATGAAATGGCATATCAAAAGATTATAAATTCTCAGATTTTTATGAATCTCCCATTCTTTAACTGTGAATTTTCATCATTTTCGTCAAGTGATTCTTCATTAGTTGGACTGCCAAGAAAGAGAATGTAGGGGATTTGATGATTCATCCTTATAAATGATTTTGGAGGGAAAAAGTTAATGAGAACAATATATATGCAAAGGCCCTCAATCAGTATAAAATGAACTGACGTGCTTCGCTGTACCACATGAAAATCATTGTATGTGACGATTTATTGGGAGTTTTGTTTTTTGTTGTTGTTTTATTTTATTAACTATACTAAAAATGCCTGGTTGCTTTCAACGATTGAATTTCAAACCCATTTAGGAGTGATAAAATCATCATAAAAGTCAGCAAAGCTTTACAAAATCTAGTAGACCTGACTTTGAAATTTGGTCTTCTTTAGAGAAAGTCCCATGACTATGATACTGTTCTTCCTTTCTAGAAACAAGCCAATGACCTTGTGAGCACCCTGATGAAATGTACACCCCACTACATTCGCTGCATAAAACCAAATGAAACTAAGAAGCCCAGAGACTGGGAGGAAAGCAGGTACGGGGGGAACCGGGTTGGTGGGGTCAGCACATTTTTCCCTGTGCTCAAGGTGAGCCATTCTCCGTCACAGGCAGGAGCAGTGGCAATTGCTGGCACATGTCTTTGTCATGTCCTTGTGGCTTAGCTTCTTCAGGACAAAGGCTATATACTGCATCCCCTCTGTGTCATTTCCTAAAATGTTAGCGGTGCCATTCTTTTCAGAATTAGCAGTTTATAATGTTGATCTTGGCTTGTCTGGGGGCAGATGGAAAAAAAACAAAAATAAAACATAACCACATACCGCAGAGTCATGATGGTTTTAAAATCAGTTTGAAGCTCTGCATAGACATTCTTAGTACACCCAGCTCCTGACCGGGACCCACAGGATGCAGCCTAGAATGCTTAGCTTGGGGTGGAAAGTGAAGGGCTGAAGAGCTGGCAGAAACACAATCCCTCATTTGCTGTGCCTCATGAAGACACTGGGGACACCCCGGAGGCTCTGGCATTCCCCCTAAGTAGTGTGTTGATGAGCAGAATGACTCTGGGAGGAATGATGTCCAAGGGAAACGCGGAGCCCAAGAATTCAGCGAGCCCTTTCTGCCCTGACTTCCGAGGAAACTCGCGTCACTGTTCCTTCCACAGCTAGCATTTAGGGAAGTGGCCTGGGCAAAAGGAAATGGTGGCATTGAGTAGGAGCCGGTTAAGGTGGTGCCTAGAAGGTGTGAATTTTGTGTTTCACCGGGGGCCCCAGACACACATTGTTCAGAGGCCTGATCCCACTGTCCGTAGAAGCCTGGGGAGACACTTCAACTACAGAGAGGACCCCAGCCAAACTTGAGCGTTTCCCAGAATCCCCAGAAGGCGTTATTCATGCTCAGATTGCTGGGCTCCACCCCGAGTCTCTGATGCAGAGGTCCTCGAGTGGGGCCCATGAAGGTGCATCTGAAAAATCCTGCAGGTGGTGCTAGTGATGACGGCCCAGGTACTGCGCTTTGCGAATCACTGATCCAGAGCAAAGACCTAGACCGCGAATTGGAAGACCTGTGTCCTGGTGATAACCTATCACTAAGTCGTTCGAGTGAGACGCTTGGTCTCCTTAGCCCTCAGTTTTTTCCTCTTGAGAGGCTCCATCTAGAATAGGATCTCCTTTAGTCCGACAGAATGAAGTCTTCCAGACAGTGGCTGTCAGTCTGCCTCTGCCTCTGTCACTTTTACGCTCACCCCTCACACATACCCACACGTACACAGCCCACCCACGCGTGCATCCGCAGGTACACACACACAATAGAACAGTGGTGTCATAGGCAACCTTAGAAATAAATCATGAGAGTTTTGGAAGCAGAGGTATTGCCAAAGGGTGCCTTAGCCCATCTTCCCCCATTTCAAACTCTATCCATCTTCCCTTCCCAGCAAATACTCTCAAATAAAAACATCTCACTTAACCTACAAATGTAGTACCTCCCCTAGCATACCCTCCTCTACCCCACATAGTGAGTTCTGCTGAATGCCCCTCGAAAATAGAAATTTTGCAATAGCTGCTTGGAAGTTCATCAACCCTGATGCTACCTTCTTGTAAAAATCCAGCTTGATTCATTAGAATATCAGAAAAGGGAGAAGTTAAAATAGTGATACATTTTATTCAGTAAATCCTCAGAGGATGAGGATGGTATTTTTTCTTTTCTTTGTTTTTAATGATTCCCCTTCTTTGAATTGCAGCAAAGAATTTTATGACATGCATTCAAATAAACTGGTTTTAAGAAGTTGAAGGTATTAGTTGGTCAAGCGTTGATCTATAATTCCAGTAGGATCGCTTTCTGGGATTCCACCCTTAATCCTGGTTCGGGTTTATTGTGTGACAGATGGTTTCACTCCATCCATGAGTCAGGAGCGTTGGGGTCCGTGAAAGGGCAGTGTGCTTCGCTGGCCGGGATTACACACCCAGTTGAAGCTCCTGGTGGAGAGGGTTACTCATTCCACAAGTTTTTGGGGTGTGGGGCTTTTCTTTTCCTGTTGCAAATGTGTTTTTGTTTGGCTTCTGGCAAGGTTTGCCCTGGATTCTGAACTGCTGCCTTGCAGGGTTCTCTAGCCCTGATCAATTTGAGTAAATGGCCGGGGAAAGTCTTGGAAAAAGACTCCTCTGCAAGACGAAGTTGGCATAGCCTAGGGAATAACTGTGTGTTGTTTGACCAGTGACTACTAAGGAGGTGACAGTGCTCGAGAAATATGTAAAAATCAACTTGGGTCCCTCTGATGACCCAGAATTTTAAACATTACAGGACTTGCTAGGCTGATGAGCCTGCTGAAGGGAATTTCTACAAGAAAATTTCCTGGTGGTGAGAGTTATGGTGAATGAAATAATGTTTTAACATGAGGAATATTCCTTCTTATGTGATTCATGGGAAAGGAACGTTTCTGCCTGAATTAATGGGTGAAGCATTCCCTACCTCGAAAGCTTGGCGTAAAGCCAGTATTTATGAAAAGTACTTCAAAATGAGTAGAACCCTGAAATGAACAGCCTCATGCATTTTTCTCACTAGAGAAAAGGCTAGTGGTGAGTTTTAGATTTGGAGGATGAGAAAAAGGAAAATTAATTATTTTTAAATGTAAATTTTATTACCTTTTTAGCTGACATGATATTTCTCTCTTTCGCTCTCTCTCTCTCCCTCTCTCTCTCTCTCACTCTCTGCCTGACTTATATGGGCAAATTAGATATTGAATATTAACTCTTTTTATATAGAGGCTTTTTAAAAGTTAATAATCATAGAGGAGGCTAGGCGCGGTAGCTCACACCTGTTATCCCAGCACTTTGGGAGACCCAGGCAGGTGGATCACAAGGTCAGGAGTTCGACACCAGCCTGACCAACGTGGTGAAACCCCGTCTCTACTAAAAATACAAAAATTAGTCGGGTGTGGTGGCACATGCCTATAATCTCAGTGCCACTATACTCTGGGCAACAGGGATTCTATCTCAAAAAATAAAATAAAACAATAACAATAATCTTAGAGGAATCAACATTTCTGGCTGTCGCCTCCATAAGAACCATCAAACTGGAGACTCTTAAACACCACTCCCATTGTGACCTCATCCTTCCCATCAGCCAAGGCTGTCCCCCTGCTTCAAGCTTCATCTGTCCCCCTCCTCCTGTCCCACAGCCCCCATCACTGGCCTTTCCAATCCTTGTGTCTTTGCTTTCACAGCCTTCTGCCTTGTCCTTTGCACCTCATGGATCCAACTCATCCCTCCAGGCCAAGGTGCATCACAGTAATCCCGAGAACTCCCTGCTGTAAAAAATTCATTTCCTTCTGTATTCTCCTATCTTGGTGTACTTATTGTAGCTGGGAATGGATGAGAATAACAGCAGCTTTACATCACTCACGCTAGGAACTAAGTGCTTTCCCTAGAAAGTAGCCGTGTAGAAATAAAGAATTTATGCCACCATTTCCATTTTTACAGAAGAGGAAACGGAGAGGCACAGAGAAGTTGCAGCATGGCAGGGCCCGTGGCACAGCAGGAACACAGTGCCAGAGCCTGGCCCTTAACTACTGTGCTGCCTGCCTGGGCCCCAGCGGGAAGTCAGAGCATTGTCTTTTTTTGGTGACCCTAGCATGTTGCAGTAGGGATGTCAGGAAGTATGAGGCTTAACTGGAAATGGTGGTTTTTGTGAGAGCCTCACTAGGGAGACAGCTGTTGGGAACCTGTGCGACATCAGAATGTGGATGCTTCCGATTGCCTTTGCAGCTCAGCAGCTCCAGAAAGGCCCATTTTGCTGAGCGCATTAGCCCCATTAGCACGATCAGCACAGATAACCCCAAATGTACCGAATGGAGAGCATGAGGAGTTACCTCCGTACTGTAGCACAATCATGACATTCCACCTTCAGAAGAGAGAGACTTTACTTTTTATGTCTAATTTCCCTCAAATACCATGTTTCCAAGTGTCTGTGTTGAGCCCAGGCCCAGTTTGTCTTCCCAGAGTGGATGATCTGAAGCAGGTGTTGAGGCTCTGTGTCTCGGCATCTAGAACACTGTTTCCCAGCAGGTGGTGGGTTTTCACAAGGCACGTGTCTGTGCTCCACCCTAGACCCAGCAGGCCTACTAAAACAGCAACCCCGAGGTGTGAGGCATGGGGCATTTTCTGATATGAAAACCCTCGTGTGTGAGAATATTAACATAATAGTTCTTTACATCCATTTTTCAAAATACATTGCTAGATTTTTACTATTAAGAAGCCAGGACAGTCCAGGCATGGTGGATCACCTGAAGCCAGGAGTTCGAGACTAGCCTGGTCAACATAGCAAAACCCATTGCTACTAAAAAATACAAAAAACTAGCCGGGCGTGGTACACGCCTGTAGTCCCAGCTACTTGAGAGAATGAGGCAGGAGAATCACTTGAACCCACGAGGCAGAGGTTGAGATGGGCCGAGATTGTGCCACTGCACTCCAGCCTGGGTGACAAAGCAAAACTGTGTCTCCAAAAAAAGAAAAAGAAAAGAAACCAGGCCAGGTACAGTGGCTCATGCCTATCATTCCAGCACTTTGGGAGGCCAAAGGAAGCTGATCAGTTGAGTTCAGGAGTTTGAGACTAGCTTGAACAAAGTTGCAAAACCCTGTGTCTCCAAAAAATACACAAATTAGCCGGGTGTAGTGGTGCACTCCTATAGTCCCAATTAGTCAGAAGCCTGTAATAGTAGGATCACCTGAGTCTGGGGAGGTTGAGGCTGCAGTGAGCTATCATGTCACTATACTCCAGCCTGGATGACAAAGTGAGACCTTGTCTCAAAAAAAAAAAATTTTAAGAAAGAAGAAAACAATTAAAACTGTAATTTAGATATATTTTAGACCATTTTTAATGTACACACTGAAAATTAATAGTTTTATATGCTCTTTTGTAACTTGTATTAGAAAAACCTAGAAGTATAGTTTCATTAAATAAGAATCAATATTAAATTTAAGTTCAATAGCAAAACCAGCTCTAGCATCATTTAATTCATAAGTTAAAAGTTATTTCCCCACCCTTTTGATAAACCAATATTTTTGTTCATATTCTAGGTGATAGGTAGATGGGTCTTTGTGTTACTATTGTTACATAGATACGTAATGCCGAATTGCTGTATTTCTTTTTTTTTTTTTTT